TTATTTGTTTTTATTTTGATCACTGTCTGAGAACACCTAACCATACAGCTGCCTAAAGAAAATAGGATATGGGAAAGCACATCTGACTATCCATTTTTGAGACTTCTCCCTAAAAACATGTGGTTTCTTCCTCTGGAATACATTAATCACACAATACCTGCTCTCTAGAAAATGGAAATTAAAATATGCCTTCTAACTTTCATAACTGTTAGGAAAATATATTTCCCTTGGATAGTATTAAGAAATATTTCCTTCAAAGTACATTTCACTTTTAAACTCCCTAAAGGCAGAAACTGTATTTATATATCTTGGATGCCCCCATGGTAACCAGTACACTAACACAAAATATGGAGCTCCATAAATATTTGTTCTGTGCTTAGAGCTAGGAATGGAAGATAAAAAGACAAGATTCCTACTCTCAAGGAATGACTCCTTATTAAACTATCTTAGATAACTAACACAATGTGCTACAATAAAGGTATTGCAACACACATAAGAGCAGAGTAAGGGAGAGATTATCAAGGAATCATTTGAAGGCAACATTAGACTCAAGGACAAATTAGAATTCACCATAAGCCAAGGCTTCAAATAGGTGGAGGGAACAAGATAAAGAGGACATGATATGTATAAGATTCAATGAGTAAAACAAAGCATAGAGTACAGAGAAGGTGGCAGATATGGTGGAAGATGGGATTGAAAACATAAACTGGGGCAGATGGCAAAGGCCTCATATTCTATACCAAAGAATTTGGATTTTATTCTCTAAAAAATGGGCCTCCAAAGTAGGGTGCCCTCATCCAAGAACATCTGCAAAATGATCCCAGGAAAAATCAGAACTTGTGTTTATTTCTATATTTTAATTTTGATTACCTTAGGGTGTGTGTGCATATAAAGAAATAAACACATGTTGGGTGTATCTTAAAATTTTTACTGATGGAACTGAAATCAATTTCCATGCATGTATGAGTTTGTCAGGATGAATCCAACCACTCCATATAACTACTAAGCTCTAAAATAAAATAAAAAACAAACTTTTATTGATGGGAGAAACAACCATAAAATTTGAATACCTAAACAATGAACCACTACATTAAAGAAATTTTTAAAAGAGACAATAGTACCCTACCCACATTACTAAGAGAGCATTTTCACAGGAAAAAGTATTGCAAAATGAATATACTAGAGTGGAGGGAAATCTTAGACTTACTGGAAAGTTACTTATCAAGATATCTTTTAAAAATATTTTTAACATTCCACCTTAAATAATTACATTAGGTCATTGTTTTAGTTAAGCTGACATGTGTGGTACTTAAAGTTTTAGTGTGTCTCTTTTGCATAAATCTATTTTCTGAGTAAATATTCTGAGGATTTTGTTTTCTTTTATTAACACTTCCATAAAAGTTGCAATATCTGGTGCAGTGGCACCTGCCTGCAATTCCAGAAACTAGGTAACCTAAGGCAGGAGGATTTCAAGTTTGAGGCTAGTCTCAGCAATTTGGCAAGGTCCTGTCTCAAAATTTAAAAGTAAAAATGGGCAGGAAAGTGAAATTATGGCATTTGCTAGTAAATGGATGAAACTGGAGATTATCATTTTAAAGGAAAAGCTGGGATTAAAAAAAAAAAAATTTTTTTCTTTCTTTCTTTTTTTTTTTTTTTGGTGGTGCTAGGGATTGAATCCAGGCTTTGTACATGTGAGACGAGCACTCTACCAACTGAGCTACATCCCTAGCACAAAAGGAATGATTTTTATAAGACAACATTGGTCATCAAAACATTCCTTTACCAACTTTATCACTTCTAAATTAATGGTTAGAGTATTTGTCCTCCATTCAACTTTCTACTCCCCATATGTTCCTGTTTACTTGAAATTCTCATATTAGGCTATCCAAGGCCAACATGATGAGATCCTGTGAAATATAACAAGCACAGTGAAAGGAGAACCAGGGCTGGGGTTGTGGCTCAGAGGTAGAGCACTCGCCTACCATGCATGAGGCACTGGGTTCGATCCTCAGCACCACATAAAAATAAAATAAAGATATTGTGTCCATATATATATATACATATATATATATATATATATATATATATATATATATATATATAAAAGGAGAACCAGTGTTAGGAACTGCTCAGGTACAAAAATGAATAATATTTGGTCCCAGCTCCTAGGCAACCTACAGTCATAAAAGGGAACTCAACAGTTATATAACCAACCACCAACTCCATACTTCCACATGTAATATAGTATGTGTCTTAAAAGAAATACAATGAAAATCAAATAGGTGTTCCTTAGATGTGTAAGCTAATTTTTTAAAGCAAATTTGGCCAAAATAAAATGCTAACTGCTAATTTATTGAGACTTACTACCCACCAGGTACTGTAATTTACATGCATCATCTTATTTAAATATTTAATCCTTAAAATAACCCTTGAGCTTTATATCACATTATTTTTTTTTCTTTCATAAATCATTTTATTATTATAATTGCTATTTTACTTAAAATTTTTGGCAACATTAATAAAATAATAAATTCCATCTGCAAGAACAAGCAAGCAAAATAGACAAGGAAATTCATACAATAATAATAATAAAATAGTAATCTGGACAGATATTAAATATATTTGTAAACAAAACAAAGTGACATTGCCTTAAAAAATATAAAGCTATCAATATAAAAACTGAGAAAGCTCCCTTTGACTCAATTCACTATATTAATTTTCTTTTGGTTGCAGGCACAGAAATTGACTCAAGCTAGCTCAATTCTAAAAGAGAAGCAAAGCCCTTAATGATTCCTTCCAGCTTTTTTGTGAAAATCTAGGAAATTTAACTAGATTAGAGAGGGAAGAAAATAGTGGGGGAGGGAGGTAAAGTGTATATCACATTATTTTAAAGAGGAAACTGAAGAAAGCAGGTAGAGACTTTTGAATTAGGTACCCTGCCCAAAAGATGTTCCTTTCCCAATGAAGAACAGAATTTGGAGGGTAGAGAAGAGGCAGGGAGAATAAGCTCCCACACAGTATCCATCTGTGTTGTCCAGTATGGCAGCCTGAGCCACAGTGGGGCTACTGAGTACATGGAATGTTGCTGGTCCTAATGGAGATGTGCTGTAAGTATAAAACATTCACGGGGTTTCAAAGATTTAATACCAAAAAAGAGCATTTTTCAATAAGTTTATATTGGTTAGATGTTGAATTGATAATTTTTGGATATAATGGATTAAACAGTGTAGGTTATTAAATTAATGTCACTTTTTTTGTTTTTATACTTTTTAATGTGGCTACTAGAAATTTTTAAATTACATATGTGGTTTGCATTATACTTTACTGAATAGTGGTTGTCTAGAGTACTAGCAAAGGAAGGAATTACCAATCAAAAAATAAATAATATTAACATAACAACAATCTTATATGGTGATATGAAATCAGGAAGTAAATGCCAGATTTTAAGGAAGAAAAAGATGTCATCTTATACTTTTTAAAAACTCCTCTTGGGAGCTGGGGTTGTGGCTTGCTTGCCTAGCACACATGAGGCACTGGGTTCGATTCTCAGCACCACATAAAAATAAAATAATGGTATTGTGTCCACCTATAACTAAAATAAATAAATAAACATTAAAAAATAAAAACTCCTCTTGGGATAATCATTTTTTTTTAAAAATGCAATAACAAAAGTATCTTCTCTGGGCCTAAAATCATGACACCTCAGTAGAAAGAAGAAAACCCAGTTCCTAGATCTTGATTTCTAATATCATTCTCCTTGGAGAAATGGCAAGAGCAAAGAACATACAAGTGAACCTGGAACATTTCATTGTACCAGAAAGTGAGATATTGCTCAGAAAACATTACAAGGGGAGCATTTAAAAGAAACACTAAAAGAGAGGGGCCAATAGAAAAAGCTCCCAGTTGCCAAAACTGAAACAAGTTGATTTACAAAATAAAAGAACATAGTGGCAAATTACAATCCAAAGTATAAAATAATAAGAACTCTGTTAGTATAAATGACTGAATAAGTAAATAAATAGGGGGGAATAGCCAAATCTCACATACAAAATAATTTTGCCTCTGAAAGTGGTAGAGCATAACTGCCCCCCACACACACTTTAAGTGTAGGCAGTACATACTGACTTCCCTCCAAAGAGAAAGGTTATGCAAAGGGGTGGGGGGGTTAAAACAGTAATTTTGTGGTGGAAAAACCTGACGAACACTAAGTCAAGCATGTAATGAAGCTTAACATCGTCAGCGATAATTATCAGTGATAAATTGTGCTGCCAGCACATTCCCTTGAAATTATAGGATGAGAATGGCACTTTGCCTCTCTGGTCTTTCTCTAAACAATCCCATATCCACAGTTTAATTATAAGAAACTAAAATTGAGAGACTTTCTATAAAGCTTACCAGTACTCTACAAAACTGTCAAGGTCAGCAAAAACAAGGAAAATCTGAGAAACTGTCACAGCTAAAAGAAGCCTAAGGAGACACAATGACTATATGTAACAGCAGCCTACTTGGGATCCTGGAAGGGGGGGGGACGTAAAATCTAAAGAAATCTAAAAAAAAGTATGAACTTCAGTTAATTATATATATCAATATTGGTTCATTAGTTGTTATAAATATATCATACTAACATACTTACATAAGATCTTGACAACAGGTCAAATTAGGTAAAAGATGGAGAACTCACTGCTATCTTCACAACTTTTCAGTAAGCTTAGGTAGTAACTTATTTTTTAAAATAAAAGGTATATTAAAAAGAAGGAGGAAGAGGACGAGGAGGAGGAGGAGGAAAGAAAGAAAAAAAGCAAGGCCCTCCTCTAGTTTAAAACCTTTCAAGACTATTAGAATCTATTCCCTGGCCCAAAATCTTTACAACCTTGCTATTGACCTGGAAGCTTGTTAGCAATATGAAATCTCAGGCCCATCCCAGATATACTGGGGTTCTCAGAGAAACAGAACCAATAAGAGAGAGAAAAAGAGAAGATATGTATAAAGTAGAGACTCACCCAGCATAGGCCTGGAGGATCTATACCCAGAGAGAAATTGTACAGAAGCCTGGAGGTTCAAGGAGACTGATGGTGCAGATGAAATCTGAAGAGAGGGCCAAACCTTGTAGAGCAGGCCTGTAGCCCCAGCTAGTCCAGAACATGAGGCAGGAGGATCACATCTTGAAGGCCAGCCTCAGCAACTTAATGAGACCCTAATTCAAAATAAAAAAATAAGGACTGGAGATGTAGCTAGAGACCCCCTGGGTTCAATCCCCAATACCATAAAAAAAAAAAAAGAAAGAAATATGAAATAGTCTTCTGGAGGATTTCCTTTGCTTGGGGTAGGGAGACAGAGAGTGACACTGTTCTAGTTAGCCTTCAACTGATTGAGGCCCACCCACATTATGGAGGGCAACAAGTTTCACCAATTTAAATGTTAACTTCATCCAAAAACAGCCCCCAATTTGACACATAAAATAAACATCACACCAGACCTGCTGAATCTGAAGCTATATTAAAAGGATCCACCAAGTGATTATATGCATACTCAAATAAGAGTGTCATCTCAACAACCCAATTTGAAATCTACGTGGTTATTTCTGTCACTCAGAAATAAGGTCTAATTTGTTATCCTAACTTGAAAACTGGCCTAGAATTTACTAATCTGGAAATTAGGGATGCCTTCAAAAATCCTCACCCTCTTCTCTGGATAAAGGAGCTTCGTCTTTGTTCCCATGTAGACCTCACCAATCCTTTCCCCTCGTTTACTGAATTATTGGTTTGTGAGTCTTCCGGATTTGCCCTGAACACTTCGAGGGCATTGACACATCTTATTTTCCCGTCTATCTCCACAAAGATAGTCTCTATTACCCAGGAAAATTGTTGAACTGAAGCCTATGGCTAGAACAGCGGCTCCAGGTCTGTCCAGCCTAGGCAAGCATTTTCCTAGTTTCCTCTTTCCTAGTTTCCTCTTACTGTTGAGTCAGTAACTACAACAATCTCTCTGAATTAGAAGTGCGAAGAAAAAACACACGCAGAGAGATGCATCAGAAGAGTTGATACCTTGAACCATATGAAATTGTTTATATTGGGTTATTTTTTCTATAAAATCGGCAGTCTCTTGGCACACGCAGGTAATCCCTGGCGGCCCTGTCCTGGGAGGGTGAAGCAGAAGGCTCAAAAGTTCAAAGCCAGCCTCAGCGATTTAACAAGATCCTCTCAAAACAAAACATTAAAAAGGGGCTGGGGATGTGGGGATGTGCCTCATTAGTTAAGAGCCCCTGGGTTCAACCCCTGGTACTTCACCCGAGCCCCCCCCCCCAAAAAAAAAAAAAAAAAACCTGGCAACCCTATTGAACTTTAATATATTTCCATTTGCTGCTTCGTCACCTCAAAAGCAATTTAGGGACCGTATGCTGTCACGGGGTAGACAGTACAAAGGTTGCCAACTGTCATGACAACTGTACACACCACCTCGACTTAAGTCCTCCCCTTAATTAGGCACGCTTAAAGTCCCCGCAGGCGACTGCAGATTTCCACTTATCCTCGCTCTGGAAGGGCCGCACGGGAGCTTTACGGGAGGTCTCCTGTAGGGACACGTTCTCAACAGCACTGGCCACCTAGCACGCGCAAAGCCGTAGGAGCTGTGCATCTCTAAACCGACCTCCTCCCCCACCCCGGCGGAAGTCCCGGAACTCAGCCTTCCCCGCCCAACCTACGCCAGGGTTGCCCAAACCTAAGATGGCGACAGGAAGGAACCGGCGCGGCTGCCTCTGGGCGGGGCAGCGGTGACACTACGTGGCCAGGAGGTGGTGCCAGGATGGGGGCGGTACCAGAGTCCACGCCACCGCCCCGGCCCGCCCAGCCACCGCAGCCGGGGGCTTCGGCTGTCGGGTTGCAGAGCTCCTCTCCTCAGAGCAGCCAGCTCCCTGTAGGCATCATGAGGTCCTCGGTTCGAGGTCCGGTGGTGAACGATGGCGAGGACAGCACCGACAGCACCCCGCTCCTTCAGGGCGCCCGGCAGGCCGAAGCCGGTGAGCAGCCGGGTCGTCTACGGGCTCTAGGCCCGCAACATTCCCGGGGCGGGCGGTGGTACTGGGGCAGAAGTGGCCAAGGGTACTGGCACCCCCGCCGTCTGGTCCAGAGTTGACAGGCGCCGAGGGGACATGAAGAGAGAAAGCCCATTCAGGCCCCTCTTAGCCCCGCCTGTCCCAGTGCCCGGAAGCCTCTCCGACGCCCGAGGGTCTGACGGGCTGGCGGGAACGGCTGTGCCGGGCTCGAGCTTGGCCTCCGCTAGTGCCTCTCGGCGGGGCTGGAGCGGGGAGCGGCTCTGCGCGGCAGGTGCTTGAGCTGCTGACTGTTTTCAGTAGTGCAGAGCCGGGAACCCGGTGAAAAACCCAACTTGGGGAGCGCCTTCAAATCAATGGGCAAGGGCCAGACGGAGGGTGAACTGAGGGCCCTGGGGTTTCATCCCCGGCACAAAAAGAAGAAAGGGCGAAGTGGGGGAGAAACTTGCAAATCGGTGAGCAAATGGCCAGGCTGATTCGTCTCCTGCCTTGTGACCTCCTGGTTTCCACAGCTGCGTATCAGCCTGCAAGTTGGGCAGGGAGAGGAGACAAAAGGATAGGAGATATAATATTTCTGAGTATGCAGAGAGCAAGTGTTGCATAATCCAACAAAAATATCTTGATATTGTGCTGTAAGAGACTAAAAATATTGCAGACATTTCAATTTTCTTCCCTTCTTGCAGTCTACAATTTAAGTTAGGAAACAGTTTGGTTGTCCTCAAGATAAGCTATCTACAGAGCTGTAAGATAATTTGCCAGAGATCTTGCAACAAATCGAAAAGGAGGTATTTCAAAAAGCATGGTCTCTGAATTTAGGAAAATAGCAATATTTTGCTATTTTCCACTTTTATAATGTAGCTTCTTAAGAAGTAATGAAAACTAAAAAAAAGATAAGTTTGCATGCGTTCTGTAGTTTCAAAGATTCAAAGTATTAGAGTAGAATTGGAAATCTGACTTTTGTTGACCAAGCATATTGTTCTTTTTATTTGTTTTTAACATTACCAGATGGTGGCAGTAGAGGTGGCAACATTGTAGCTCCGTCCTGCATCTTGGAGCTTATTTTAGTCAATGCTAAGTGTAAATAACTGTACCAAAGTAGTATTTTACCTGAAAGTTGTATTTAATTCCATAAACTGATCTTTTCCCTTGGCTTATAACATTATAATTATATAATCTTCCTCTATAAAATAATCTCATAGAAATGCAGAAACAAATGACTATTTAATATACTACTGTATTCTGCTGTAATTGGAATATATGTGTGTATGTACATACATATATACATATATGAAAATTTAGCTCAAATGTCAACCATCTTTATTATTCAGGAAAATGCAAATTCAAACCTCAATGCTTAATAAAATAGATAAAATTCAAAGGTTGGGAGCCTGGCACAGTGTTGCAAGCCTGTAGTCCCAGCAGTGAGGACAGGATGATTGCAGGTATGAGGCCAGCCTGGGTTATTTAGTGAGAACCTGTTTCAAAAAATAAGCAGTACTAGCTAGGTGCAGTGGCACAGGCCTGTAATCCTAGCAGCTTGGGAGGCTGAGACAGGAGGATGGAGAGACAGGAGGATTGAGAGTTCAAAGCCAGCCTCAGCAAAAGCAAGGCACTAAGCAACTCAGTGAAACCCTGTCTCTAAATAAAATACAAAATAGGGTTAGGGATGTGGCTCAGTGGTTGAGTGCCCCTGATTTCAATCTCCAGTACTCCCCCCCCCAAAAAAAATTAAGCAGTATTGGGAATATAGCTCAGTGGTAGAGTACCCCTAAATTCAATCCCTAGGTAGATAGAGAGATAGGAATACCAGATATTGGCAGAGATGTGGAATAACTAGAACTCTTGCACATTCCTAGTAACTGTGTAAAATAGTACAACTACTTTGGGAAATCTTAAATTTTTATATTACCACATGACCACATAATGTATATACCTGTGATATATGTACATTTTTATTCAAAAAATAGTCAAAAACTGGAAATAGATGAGTTTAGTGGATGAATATACAAACTATGTACGAAAAGGGACAAAATATTGGTGTATGTAACATATGGGTAAATCTCAAAAACATGCTGAGCAAAATAAACCACCATATTAATATATGATCCCATCAATATGAAGTTCTAGGACTAGCAAAGGTAATATATAAAGCAGATTAGTGGTTGGCTAGAGACTCAGGCAGAAGAAAATTGACTTCAGAGAGGCATTAAGGTACTTTTTGAGGTAATAAAGTTCTACATCTTGATCTTAATTGGGTTGGACAGATGTATACATTTATCACATAAATTAGACTTTGATAAAACTGATCAGAAAAAGATTAGCTCCTGTTGTCACTTTTCAGAACATCCCTCACTTGACTCATAGGTTGAATATATAGTTCTTAATGTATATACGCTCTGTTCTTCCTGACTTCAGGTGACTCCCTTCATTACACCATTTCCATTTTTATTTCTATTTTTTTTTTTAACTTACCCTCTGGAAAACACATGAAGTAGAAGTAGTAGCAACACACACAAAGTATTACTTAGTCATAAAAAAGAATCACTTTATGATGTTTGCCAGCAAATGGATGGATGTGGAGACTATCATGCTAAGTGAATAAGCCAATCCCCAAAATCCAAACACCAAATATTCTGATATTCCGATGCTAACACACAACAGGGGTGGGGGCAGGGAAGAATAGAAATTCAGTGAATTAGGCAAAGAGGAACAAAGGGATGGGAATAGGAAAGACAGAATGAATTAGATATAACTTTCTTATGTTCATATATGAATACACCACCAGTGGAACTCCATGTCATGTACAATCACAAGAATGGGATCCTAATTAGAATAAGTTATAATCCATGTATGTATAATATGTCAAAATACACTCTATATTCACATATATCTAAAAAGAACAAGGAAAAAATAATAGCAACACATTATTTTTGCTATTTAAAATATGATAAAGGGCCAGGAGTGGTTTGGAATACCTGTAATCCAAGCTACTTGGGAGGCTGAAGGAGGAGGATTCCAAGTTTGAGGCCAGCCTTGAAAACTTAGTGAGACACTGTTTCAAAATAAAAATAAAAATGCTGGAGAGGTAGTTTGGGGTAAAGTGTCCCTAGGTTCAATTCCAAGTACTGGGGGGGAAAAAAAAAAAAAAAAAAAAAATATATATATATATATATATATATATATATATATGTATGTATATACATATATATATACACACACACACATATGTGATTTAAAATAATATATATGATAAAGGTTTTATAGAGGTGTCCTATATAGTTAGACCTACGATGGTTGCATCTGTACTGAACATGTATAGACTTTTTTCCCTGTCATCATTCCCTATGCAATACCATATAACAACTATTTGCATTTTGTGCAATCTAGAAATTATTTTAAATTCTACGAGAGGATGCGTGTAGTTATCTGCAAGATCACCATCTTTTATAAATGACTTGAGCATCTGCAGAGTTTGGTACCCTTTGGGATTTTGGAGCCAATCCCCTATGGATGCCAAAGGACCCTGCGTTTTTTTGTTTTGCTCCTGGCACAAGCGCCCTCCCCACTGTGAAATCTTTCTCCAAATAAATACTAAGACATCCTTAAATTTTTTACTAGCCTCTCTTACCAATAGTACCTCTTTATTCATCAGAACCCTGGCTTTAGCTAGCACATTGGCACACACTTATAGTCCTAGCTATTTTGGAGACTGAGATGAACCTGGACAACATTGAGAACCCCATCTCAGGGCCAGACTGTGGCTCAGTGGTAGAATGCTCACCTAGCACGTGGGAGGCCCTGGGTTCAATCCCTGGCACCACAAGGAAAGAAAATGAAGTCCTAGTGATAACCCCATCTCAAAAAAGAAGTAGAAGCCTGGCTTTTAGGGGATCTACCATCTGTTCCCCACTGATCTTTCAAGAGGTGGTTTTTTTTCATGTTCATACTAATTGATAGAGTTGAGGACTCCTTGTTCCACAATGATGCTTCCAGACAATTACCCCCAACCCCAATGCTTTGGGGCTAAACCACCTTTCCATTATATCGATGCTATCATCTACCCTCCTGCCACATTTTGCTTCATTCACCACAGACTTTGCCACCTGACTCTCATCCATCTCCACACTCTATAGTTTCTGCCATTATCCTTATTGACTTCCTATCCAACTCCATGTCCCTCAGTTCTCTGTGCTCCTGTATGTCTTATGACTTTTTCCCTCCTCTGGTCATCTTATACCATGTCATCTCCCACAACTACTTTGACCACAGCTAGACATCCTTCCTACTTGCCTGTGTAACCACCCTACTTTGACTACTGTCTAATTTCCTCTGGACCTTCTTTTTCTTTTTTCTTTTTTTTTTTTTTTTTTTTTTTGAGACAGGGTCACACTAAGTTACTAAGGCTAGCCTTGAAGTTGTGATCCTCCTCCCTCAGCCTCCCCAGTGACATTCTTTTTTTTTTTAATGGTAAAGTTCACCCATATAGGGGCTGAGGTTGTAGTGAGTGGTAGAGCACTTGCGTAGCATGTGTGAGACACTGAGTTCGATCCTCAATACCATATAAAAAATAAATAAATGTATTGTGTCCATCTATAACAAAAAAAATGTTTTAAAGTTCACACATATGCCCATATACAATAAGAAGAGAAGTGTATAATGAACCCCCACATAACCAATACTTCATGACCAATCTTGTTTCACTTATTTTTAACTTCATACATGATTTTTTTGAAGCAAATTCCAGATATCATGTCATTTTAAGAGTAAACATTTCCATATATATCCCTAAAAGATGATACTTTTTAACATAATTTCAGTATCATTATCACAATAAATAAAAATAATTCCTACTCAGTGCTCATATTTGTCATAATTTTGTAGTTTATTCAAATCAAGATCCTAATAATGTCCATCCCTTCCAAATGATTGAAATGTTTCTTATATCTTTTTCATCCTTAGGTGTTCCTTGCCCCATTTCTTTCTTGCAGTTTATATCCCTGTGTGATCATTTAACATATTCTTTTGCACTCCGCATGTTTACTATAAATTGGTAATTAGTGGATATAGAGATTTGATCAGATTATGACTTCTGTCTGCCTTATCTACTGTCAAAAGGTCTTCATAGGTAGAATTGTGTACTACTATCAGGAGACTCCACTCCACTTTTCAGCCACAAAAAAAACATCTGTATGCTAGTTCTAACAGATGATGGTCTAGGTACTGGAGATGAACAAAACAGAGCAAAAGTTCCTGCCCTCACAGAAATGTTATACTCCTAAACTATTAGCCTTCTCCATTTTACCTTCTTTTGGAGTTAGAATCATGTTCCGACATTTTATTTTCTTGCCAGTACTCTAAACTCTCTTGTCCTCTGCTTAGTCATCACATCTGAGTGCCAACTGTCTGCTCTCTTAGCATCTACTCCTGAGGACAGACATGCAATGCTTAAAGTTACATACTAGGGCAGATTGCTTTTACCAGTTCTGTATAAGAGTCCATCCATTGGGCAGTCCTGTCTGTTCATCTCTTATCCCACAAATCCTAATTTCTCACAAATGATTCCTAACATATGACTTCAATTTCTAATATCTAGAAAAACAATATTATCAACAATTCATTTACCAGAGGGATACTATGTACTAAGCAGTACCCTAAGTGTTTTATACATACTACTTCAGCCAATTGTTATATTAACCCTAATACATACGAAACAGTCTTGTGCCAAGCACATAGTAAGTTCTCAATAAATATTAGTTATTACATTATTAAACTCAATACCTGCTATCATCCCCCTCAATAGTATTAGTGTTCTCTCTCTCTCTCTCTCTCTCTCTCTCTCTCTCTCTCTCTCTCTCTCTCTCATACTGGGAATTGAACCTAGAGTGCTTTACCATGAAGCTGTATCCCCAGCCCTTTTGAGACAGGGTCTTACTAGTTTAGGGGCCTTGCTAAATTGCTGAGGCTAGCCTCAAAATTGCAATTCTGCCTCCGCCTCCCAATTTGCTGGAATTATAGACGTGCATCACCATAACTGGTTACAGACGTGCATCACCATAACTGATGTTAGTTCTTAGAGTTGCTACAGTCCCTTGTCCAGTAGCCTCAGATCATTTAGAATTTCCTATTCTCCCTGTGCTTGCCTTTCTCATTTCCATACTTCTGAGAATGTTGCTGCCTTTGGGTTGCTCTCTCTCCTCTGGTTCATTAAGGAAGACTCAGTCAAATATTGTTTCTTTGAATGACCTTCCCTGACCAGCCCCGACCCCAGGCAGACAGATGGGCCTCCTTTTCCCTTGTTACACTTATGTGCATAGCACTTTATTTTATTTGTATAACTTTCTCTGAGGCAAAAAAAGAAAGAACTCACTTTTACTGAGGATATACTATAATGGTGGTTTTTCATATAATCCTCATGTACTCCAGTGAGGTGAATGTTGGTCTCTTCATTTTAGAGCTGAGAAACCTGAGAATTAAAACTATTAATAACTTCTACCAAACCACTCAGCCAGTGAAAATCAGAACTGAAATTCATTCCCAGGTCTGCTTCATTCTAAATTAACCTATGTTCTTTCCCTTACACCCACTCTACATTCCTAAGTTTAAAGCACATTTTAGAAGCTCATGTTTATTTTGATGGTTTCTTTGTTCGTTATGCAAGCATTATTTTGCTTTGAACTTGATTTCAGTGTGGTCGTTGCTCCATGGATGTCCTTTTTCATGCAGCCTTTCTTCTGTTGGATCAACTTCAGAGGTTATCTAAATTCATTGGCATGTTTTGTCCTACCACTATATTTTCTTTTTGTTTTGACTAAATAGATTTATAATCACAACAATTTTTATAAAGCAACCATGTAGTTTTAATTCCTAAAAATTTCATAGTTATATATTTTGTGGCATCTTTGTAGGCTCTATTTTTCTGACTAGCCCCAAAATATAAAGTTGCCTGACCCATAACTTTTAGATCAGATTTTGAGTCAGTATTATGGTTTAGATATGAGGTATCCCCTAAAAGCTCTTTCGTGAGACAATGCAAGAAGGTTCAGAGGTAAAATGATCAGATTATGAAAGGTGTGATCTAATTGTTGGATTAACCCAACAGATATGGATTAACTGAGTAGTAACAGTAAACTGATGGGGTATAGCTGAAGGAAGTAGGTCACAGAAGGTATGCCTTTGGAGTTTATATTTTATCCCTGGTAATCAGGGCTCAATCTCTTTGCTTCATGGTTGCCATGTTAAGAGCTGCTTTCCCTTCACTTACTCTCATCATGATGTTCTGCCTTACTTCAGGCATTGAGCTATGAAGTCAGCCAACTGTGGACTGAACCTCTGAAACTGTGAGCCAAAATAAACTTTTCCTCCTTTAAATTATTCTTATCAGGTTTTGGTCACAGTGACCAAAGGATAACTAAAACAGTAATGCCACTAGTCATTTAAAATCACTTTACTCACCTTTCTTTCACTTCCCAAGCTTCTACCCCTAAAACTTCCTCACATGATAAGGAAAATCATAGTCCAAATCAAACATCACTTGAGGAAAAACTAATGACAAACAGTAAAATAAGGTAACAGCAAATAAGGATAGAACAAAATAATGACATTACAAGCAAGAGTAGCATAAAATAAAGTTGTTTAGAGTAAGAATTCCTGATAAATTCATTCTTCCCTTTTACTTTCTCCCACATCTAGCATTTTGGCAAGACTTTAACCACACCTCAGATCTGCCCATTTCTCTACATTGCCTCAGCTTTCATCACAGGTTAAGCTGTCCTCATCTCAACCTGGAAAGCTGCAATAACAGTCCCTGAGTCTACATCCCCCACACCCATTCACATTTCTTCCCTTAACAATCTTCACACAGCAGCCAGATAAGCTCTTAAACCAAAACTCACATCCTGTCATTCTGCTGATGTAATGAACTTTTAAAATAGAGACCATGATGAAACAGACATAGCACATGAATCCAGATTTTTCTTGCTCAAAATTATTTAAAGTAATGTGTTTTTATTGCCCATATTTGATGAGATCACAATTCTTCCATCCAGACTTTCATGTAATATTGCCCAACAAAGTGATGATAAAGTATTCTGTTATAGAATATAACTGACAGCATCCAAACTGTCCTTAACTGGAAAGGTACCACTTGATTGGAACAGAGAGCAAATTTGTATAAATTCATGTAACAGTGACAGCATAAATTGAGCCTTAGAAACGTAGTTCTCACAGATCTAGATCTAACTATGGTAGTAGCACTATAATTCTAATAGCTATACCCCTAAAAAAAGGATTTAAGAGTATCAAACGACAAGTTTTCTGTTAACTTGAACAAAGAAAAAAATTGGTCATAGTTAAGTGTATGAAGGCTTATAGAAAAGTGAGTGGAATCATAATGTATTAATATATACCCACCCACGTAGGGATGGGAATGTAGTTCAGTTATAGAGTGCTTGTCTAGCAAGCATGAGACCCTACATTCAATTCCCAGTACCTATCTAGTTGTATAATTGTGCCATATTCATTAATGTTTCAGTCTGAAACAATCATTCTGAATCAATACCAAGACCTTTATACAATATATTTTTATATGAGGTCAGGTCAATGAAAACAAGAGGATTCCTGAGTAAGGGGAAAACATACATACACACACACACACACACACACACACACACAGATGTTAATGCATCAATACCAAATAAAAGAACACATTTTCATATATACATATATAATTTAATTTGTATAGCCTAATGAAATCAGTGTTTATATCTTTGTTGCTGGAGATCAAACCCAGAATCTTATGCATGCTAGACACATGTTATACCACTGAGCTACATTCCCAGCCCAGGATTTTTGTTTTTTAAGTGGCAGAATCTCATTATATTATCTCATTATTGCCCTAAACTCCTGAGCTCAAGTATGCCTCCTGTATCAGCCTCCTAGGTAGCTGGGACAACAGATGCACACCACCACACCCAGCTTTTAAACAGGTATTTATCTAAACACTCAACATTTACCAACTTAAAGATGTAAGACCATAAATTAGCCAGTTTCTCCTTGTCGCTAAGAGGTAGAACACCCTTATTAGTTTCCTGTATTTTCTCTCCAATTCTGCAACTCATTAAATGAAGAAAAAGGAACTCTACAATTAGAGTAAAGATTAGGTCAAACTCCTCCTCTCACATGATCCTTCTTTCATTGGTTCCTTCAACTTACTCTGCTGTCTTGTATATTTACTTACTTCCCTTTCTACTTTGGGCCCTTTAAGCATAATACCTATTGAGTCATAGATGCTACAACTGTAAAAGATTCTGCAAGTTTGTTTCTGGATTCTTAAGTACCTTTAGTTTAGGAGAGCCTTAAGTATACTAATCATGGCTTCTGATTTAAATCCAGCTTCTGAGGATATTCTCCCAGGTAAGAAATTGATCAAGAGGGGTTCTGTGCCTATACAATAATTTTTTTTCTGTGCTGCATTTAAGTGAAATGGCTACTAACCCAGTAGCTTTTATGTGATATCAAAGTATTCAAGTACTTATTGACCCTGTTTGAGATACTTTTTTAGGAATTATGATGCCATTAAATAACTTTACCTATTTTTTCTCATGCCAGTCTTTGCCAGCTGACTGGGATTAGGGGTTCAGTTTAACTGTAGAACAGATTTTTCTAGGCAAAATTGATAAAGCTTTCACCTCCGTATTTCAATGAGCTCTTACAGGTCAGACTCTCACATGTTAAATTTCTTTCAAACAAGGGGAACAAACTCCCTCTGATAGATCTTCTTAGATATGTTTGAACTGAGGTTATTATTAGAAAATATTGATGATTATTAATCTCTGGGGACTTCTAAAAAATAACCGTTTTCATGATTTAGGCAACAGTATCTAATTTACCCTTTTAATTAGTTTTCTCCGGATCTGTATTTCAGCTCCAGCATGCTGCTCTGCTCGTTACAACTTAGCAATGTTGGCCTTCTTTGGTTTCTTCGTTCTCTATGCATTACGTGTGAATCTGAGTGTTGCATTAGTGGATATGGTAGATTCAAATACAACTTTAGCAGAAAATAGAACTTCCAAGGAGTGTGCAGATCATTCTGCTCCCATAAAAGTTCTTCGAAATCAAACGGTAGGTACTGTTTTCTAAGCAAATAATCCTAAAATACTTCCAAGTAAAAATATTGAAAAATATTTCTTCATCTGAAAGAAACCAAAACAGTTGATTTTATATGTACTCTGAATTGCTTCCTTTTTGTGTTTTCCCAGGAACTGGTTGAACAGTAACTTACAACTCTAGCTACTGCTGTTGCGCTATCATATACCTTGATCTGTATGAAAAGTAGCTCTTCAGTTTCCTCTATAAACATGCCTTCCATGAAGAGAATTTGCAGAAACTTGTTTGATCTACCAGAAAATAAGCTTGTTTTAAATATTACTAAATAGTTGTGACAGGGGATGTGGCTCAGGCGGTAGCGCGCTCGCCTGGCATGCGTGCGGCCCGGGTTCGAGCCTCAGCACCACATACCAACAAAGATGTTGTGTCCGCCGAGAACTGAAAAATAAACGTTGAAAAATTCTCTCTCTCTCTTTCTCTCGCTCACTCTCTCACTCTCTCTTTAAAAAAAAAAAAAAAAATAGTTGTGACAGAACTATTATTTAATAGCTGTTTCACTTATAATATAACAGTTGCATGAGACCATAGATAATTTCAGCTGCAGGTTGAGAAAAATAAATTGGTCAATTTCTTAGATCAGTTTCTTTGTGAAAATTTATACATGCCTAACCTAAGCTACATAAGTCATTTTTCCTGCTTCGTGTTATAATAATTGATAAATATATTCTTAATTTGTTTAGATTGAGTTTTACACACTTTAATTATTTTACTTTGCTTTATTTAATGTTAATAATACTACTGAATATGTATTTGGGTACACAATACCCTATGTCTCCATTCCAACCTCAATGACCTCTATGAAATGTGGTCAGTTCACAAAATCTAGGGTTTCACAAATAAACTACAAATTATATAGAGATTTGTTTTGTATCTTTCCCTTTGGTAAGTGCATTTGTTGACCTATCTGCCTTATATAGGTAGTTAAAAAAAAAAAAAAATCCTGGAATGGTTCTTAACACAATGACTTGGTTATACGGCTTCATGTATTTAAAATGTTAGCTAATTAGGCTGGGGACATGGCTCAGTTGGTAGACTGCTTGCCTCGCATGCACAAGGCCCTGGGTTCAATCCCCAGCACCACCAAAAAAAAAAAAAAAAAAAAAGTTCAGCTATTCAGACCATCACTAAATCTTCATTAGTGTCTTACTACGTGTTGCTCCTAATTAAGACAGGTCCTACTCATATTAAGTTTATGGCTTAGTTTAAATTCTTATTCTTTTTTAGTTCTATGAGCTTGTTCAAGTGCTTGGTCTGAAATGGAGAGATATTATTATCTATATTTGTGCATCCTAATAACCAACATTAAGTGAATATTTAATTAATATTAAATTTAATATTCCTAGATCACATACCCAGTAAGTGATAGAGCTAGGTTTTAACCCAGGCCTGGCTCCAAAACTTGACTCAATCACTCCACTATTCTGTTTAATAGTTTTCTAGATTAAGCCAATGGCTCTTTTAGAGGACTTTTTGGTCAGGAATATTAGAAAACCTCTACAGCTCATCCTCTTGTCTTCTTTCATAAAATAGCAAGCCTTCTTTAAGTTTATGGCTTTTACTTCTTTTGCTCTCACTTTAATTATTTTCCAGTTTTCTAGAAACTGCATGTTTATATTGTGGTCACTCACCCACCTGCTAAAACATTTGCATGTTCTGCAATCCAGGGGAGTGATGCACAATTTTATTTGTATGGACTTATATTCAATAAGAGAAAAGTGCAATTTAATCAAGTCTTAAAGGATTGATTTTTTTTTCCCTTCTACTTTTTACAGGGCAAAAGGTACCAGTGGGATGCAGAAACTCAAGGATGGATTCTTGGTTCTTTTTTTTATGGTTACATTATCACACAGATTCCTGGAGGATATGTTGCCAGCAAAATAGGGGGAAAACTGCTGCTAGGATTTGGGATCCTTGGCACCTCTGTCTTTACCCTGTTCACTCCCATCGCTGCAGATTTAGGAGTTGCAGCTCTCATTGTACTCAGAGCACTGGAAGGACTAGGAGAGGTGATTTAATTTTTTTTTAATTTTTCTTTATTCCTTATTTTGTCTCTTGTTTTACTTCTTAGCCTAAATCTCTTTCGCCTCCTTTGAAGGATCTCATTCTTTAGTGTGAATATGAACCAAGAAGTAACACTGGACAATAACAAATTAGAAAAAAAAAATTAATTATTAAAGAACCTGTGTAGTGATGAAGTCATTGAGTAGGAGCAGTCCAAAGTTATGGCTTTACTGAAAGACTGGAGAAAACATTTTCCAAGGGAGACTTTATAGCTCAACCTTAAAGAGATAAGAAAAATAACTACTGTTAAAATTGTTAATGACTGGGCGCAGTGGTGCATGCCTGTTATCCCAGTGGCTCAGGAGGCTGAGGCAAGAGGATTGCAGGTTCAGAGCCAGCCTCAGCAAAAGCGAGGCACTAAGCAACTCAGTGAGACCCTGTCTCCAAATAAAATACAAAATAGGGCTGGCGATATGGCTTAGTGGTTGAGTGCCTCAGAGTTCAATTCCTGGTACAAAAAAAAAATGGTTATGATAGGTCATCTTTATCTCTGCTACATTTTTTAGAGCTTTATAGTTACGCATAGTATTTGGGTTTATCCCAGCAAACTCATACATGCATGGTATTCAATTCAGGACCCCCTTATCCCTCTCCTTTTCCCCTCCCATCCAGCCTTGTTTTCCTTCCTCTACTCTACTAGACTTCCTTTCCCTCATCTATTTCCTCTTGTACTTTTGCCAATTTTTACAAGATAGACTGTTGAATTGCTTTACTTTATTTTTCAATTTGTTGTTATTCATGAAACTTCCTCTTTGTCTTTTTTTTTTCTTTTTTCTGGTCTTCTAGCTTAGTGATAAATAATTTACGATTATATGTCACTATCCTGATTTAGTTCTATGATTCTTCTGGACTTTCATGCTATAAGCATTGTTATCATCAATTTTTTATCTCTTTTTTCCCTCTCGAGATGTTTATTATTTATTTAAATTTTTGTTTGTTTTTGTTTTAGTGCTAGAGATCAAACCCAGGGCCTTGAGCATGCTGAGCATGTACTCTACCACTGAGCTATATCCCAACCCCATTTTTAAAATTACTTCCTATCTTCCTCTCTATTTCTCTTTTGTATACTACTGTCTTTTTTTTTTTTTTAATCTTTTCAGTTGTAGATGGACACAATACCTTTATTTTATTTGTTTATTTTTATGTGGTGCAGGGGATCAAACCCAGTGCCTCATGCATGCTAGGCAAGTGCTCTACTACTGAGCCACAACCCCGTCCCTATACTGCTATCTTTTATTATCTCTTCTTTGTAACTTTGAACTTTCACCTTTGTAACCCAGGCATAGATTTACTTTTCTGTCTTGCATTTTTTCAATTCAGGCAAAATAGTGGCCCTCTGGATCTGGCTTATAGCATGAATGTCATGTCAAGTAATATTTTGTCATACTATGTTGGAAAGAACACTTGACTAAAGTCAGAAAATCAGAGTTTGGTCAGGCACAGTGGATTACTCCTCTAATCCCAGTAATTTGGGAGTCTAAGGCAAGAGGATCTCAAGTTCGAGGTCTGCTTTAGCAACATATTGAGACCTTATCTTAAAATAAAAAATGTTTTAGGGCTGGGATTATATCTCAGTGGTAGGGGACCCCTGGATTTGATCCCCAAAACTGAAGAAAAAAAAAAAAAAAGAAAAAAGTTTTTAAAAATCTACTAACAATTTCTAAGACTAAAACCTTGAGTTAAGTCCTAACCACTAGACCAAATTGACACTAAAATACCTGCCCATTGTCAATCACAGGATAGATATAAAGCTTATATATGCTAGAGTACTTAGAAAATTTGTCAAGTATTATTTAAATTTAACATTTTATCAACCAGGCCCAGTGGTACACGCCTGTAATCCCAACAGCTTGGGAGGCTGAGGCAGGGGGATTGTGAGTTCAGAGCCAGCCTCAGCAAAAGCGAGGTGTTAAGCAAATCAGTGAGATCTCTAAATAAAATACAAAAAGGAGGGGGCGGGGGCAGGGATGTGGTTTAATGGTTGAGTGCCCCGAGTCCAATCCCCAGTACCCCCCCAAATTAATTTAACATTTATCACTCATTGAATGTTCTTATTTTGTCCTTATCAATAGAGATATATTAAATAAACCTTTCTAATTATAGAATTAAAATTGCCCCTCTATTACCAGATTTTTCTTCTGTTTATCCAGATAAAATATATTTATTTGTATATTTTATCTGATCCAAGTACTAAATCTCCTTGTTCAATGTATTCTCATATTTTAGCTTCCTATTTATGCTTCTAATTTAATATCATAGCATGTTGCATATATTATTACTGCTATCTAGGTGACCATTTTATTTCTAAATAGAATTTAAGTTGTGTATACTTAGGTTCTCTAATCTTTCTCTGTTCTTCCGTGCCTCATCCATAAACTTAGGTCAGTATCTTTCATCCTTACTATTTGATTTACCATAAATATACTTCATTATCCCTAAGAAAATTTATATTAAAGTTTTCCACAACATAATCTCTGTGGGCATTTCTAGACATCTCAAGTTTTATTCTATAGTGATTTGTCCCATGCATATAGATTCCTGTTGATTTGCCATGTAGCCTAAATGATCTTAGTTTTTTCTTGGTAGTTCTTCCTTTTTTGTTTTTGAAGAACTCAGCAGAAAGCACAAACTATTAACATTTATTTTTCTCTCTGTTAATAATATGAGCTACCACTAATATTTACAATTATGCAAGATAGGGCATGTTACCACTGTTTTAAAGTTGAAGAATGGAAGTTCAAGAAGGTTAATTAGTCTTTCTAAGGTTACACAGCTCATGAGTGGCCAAGAACTAAAAATTCATTGATATGATTTTTGGGGAGGCAGAGTTTGTTTTAGGTTTTCTGCTTTGTTTGTTTTTGTTTTCTCTCTAGAGAATAAGCACTGGGCTTGCTCTACCACTGAGCTGTACTCCAAGCCCTCAAATCTGTTGATTTGTGTGTGCCCAAACCTATCATTTCATACGCTCCTGTGGTGTCTTTCCATCCACAGGAGAAATTTGTTGCCTCCCTGCCTCCATGTCCCATTACCTCTCTATTATCAGTAATTGGCATATACTGATACATTATCACTGGGGAATAAAAGACTATAAACACTCTCATTGAATTTATCCTTTTTCTAATAAGACCATTTTTCTTTTTGATTTAGGTCAATTTCAGTATCCTCTAGTATCCCAAAGTATTAAGTCAGTGTTTTTTAAAAAGTAATAAATTAGTAATATTTATTAAAATTAATAAATTAGTAATATTCCTATGTCATCCAAGTCAATAAAGTAAATGAGTAAAATAAACCTTGAAAAGATTCCTTTATGTCACCACTTAGTAGTACAGATTTATCATAACCCTTGGCTTCAAGTCCCCAAATCCATAAATCATTGTCTATATTTTGAAAATGCTTCGTTATAAGATATGTTCACTTAATACTGTAAAAGCATCTCATTTAATGAAATCTAATTCTGAAAATTTCTTTTGTAACAAAGTACTCAATTTAAAACATTAACAAAGCCACCTTATATTTCATAAGAAATACTTTCCCCACTCCTTAGGGTGTTACGTTTCCAGCCATGCATGCCATGTGGTCTTCCTGGGCTCCCCCTCTAGAAAGAAGCAAGCTTCTTAGTATTTCATATGCAGGTAAGATAACTACTCTTATAAAAAGTTTACTATGATTCATTATTAGGTATATACCAATCTTGGGGAGAAAGTGCCTGCATGCCAGAATCATGCAATACTGGGTACCTCTTCTGGGGGAAAATAAAACTTTTGGGGGTATAACTGTATTATTAATTTTTATCTTTAGCTCAGCAGCATATTGCAGTGTATGTTAACTGCCTAATATTTTCCCCTCTGCCACCGTTTATTTCAAAGTGTATTTTCTTTTGAAATGTTGGTATGGAAAATGCTATGTATTTTAAAAAGAAAAACCCATGAGCTGGAAAATTGAGCACTTTTGTTCTTTAATTGTGATTTCTAATTTGACTGTGTAATGAACATATCATGGCTCTCAACCCCTCTCTTCACATATCTTTTTCCTATGCACTTACTTTCACAATTTAGAGCTACAGGTGAGATAGCATGAGCTTTATATATGTGAATTTTTATTCAACTAGATTACATAAGAACTCCTAGCCTTTCTTCCATTGACTGAATGGAAAATTTTCCACCTGACTGATTTTAAATATGTGGTAGAAAGGCCTGTCTGTGATAACTTTTAAGCAAAAATCTGCAGGATAAGAAGAAACCAGTCATGCAAAGAACAGAGAGAAGAGCATTCCAGCCAATCAGAACAGCATGTACAAGGGCTCTCAGGCAGAAAATAATGAGTTCAAAGAAGTGAAAAACCACTGTGGGCGGCTAAAACAAAATGAATAAAGAAGATAATGGCAGAAAATGAGGTTAGAGAAATAGACAAGAACCAGATCATATCAGACCTTGCAGGATGCAGGAAGGAATGTAGATTTTTCCCCTAATATACAGTGGGGAGACATTAGAGGTTTTTAATCAAGTGAGAGATAAGATCCAGTTTACTTTTTTAAAAATCATTCTTGTAGTTATAAGGAGATTGACATGAGAAATCTGGTGATAAAGTCAATGACAGATACTATGTTTCCCCTTTACCTATTGAATAAAGTCTGAAGACCTAGGGGGTGAAGATTTTTTTATAATTTCTATCACTTCATTACAGCCAGCCTAGGCCCTGGTACATAGTACCTGTATGGAGTTATGTACTCAGTAAGCATTCAACTTATTTTTCTAAGTAATGTTCCCAAAACTATTCTCTGCTCACCTACTTCCACTCCTTTTCTGATCCTGTAACATTAGCACATATCTTCTTTCTTATGTTTCTATGGGACCAAATCTTAAACCCTTTTCAAAGTCTTATTGCCTGCTACATACAACTTTTCACCTCTGGAACTTGGGAATAATATCTACCATGTTTGAACTCCACATTGCTCTGTGAAACTTAACAACCATTTATTTATATTCTATCTAAGAGGGATGTTTCGGACTACAAATAATATCTGATTCATTGCATTTACTAAAATGTCTCACATTTAATGGTTAAAATATATTTTATAACATTTATCTGAAATAATTGTTTATAATGTAAATGTTATTCTTATTTCAACAAGTATGCTGTAGTAGGCTATTTTTTTCAGCCTTAGAAACCATCTTTGAACTGGCACCCAGGCACCTGGATTTCTAAAAAATGTAGCATTTACTTTGTCATATTGTAATGAATCTTCTCTTGGTTGATGGCTCCTAACTCATCAATAATTACATAGTTGCAGTTTATATAACTACATATTAATGTACATGTTTTACATATTGTAGATTTTGTAGAAATTGCTCCCTTAAGAAAGTAGATTATTTATATTTACATGAGACTAATTCAGTTCCTTCAGATTTTAGTCATTCTTTCTGTTCTTTATTTTCTATTCCCCATCCTCTTGAAGCAGTAGCTCTTGCCTTTCTGTGTTCCTCTCTCTCTCCAAAGTTTATGAAGTCTTACATGTTTTTTAGGAGCACAGCTTGGGACAGTAATTTCACTTCCTCTTTGTGGAATAATCTGCTACTATATGAATTGGACTTATGTTTTCTACCTCTTTGGTAAGTTTAAAATTTAACCTGCCTAGTATTGTGGTGCATCCTATAATCCTACCTACTCAGGAGGCTAATGCAGGAGGATCACAAGTTTAAGGCCATCTTCAGCAAGTTGTCAATACGTTTAAAATAAAAAATAAACAAGTCAGGGGGTGGATTAATATCTCAGTGATAGAACACTTACCTAGCATGCATGAGGCTCTATGTTCAGTCCCCAGTACCAAAAAAAAATTGTTTTAAATGTAATTGTAGCCTAATTATTAAAAATATATATTCTGACTCACTAAAATAATCATCTCCTAATCCACAAAGTTCTAAAACACTAGTAACCTGTTTATGTGATTAAAAGGATCTGAGTTATGACCTGATGTTAGTTTTCAAATATTTCTTAATAGAAACTGCTGTTGTATCCTGAACTTAAATGTCACACTTTCAAAAGTTACTCTCTTGGTTATTATAAAAATGTGTGTTTTAAAAGTATTTATTCTTAAGCAAAATAAGATGCTCTCACTTGGTAATTTTAATCTTTTTTAAAATTTTGTGTAGTCCCAAGGTATGTTTCATTTCTTAGATTCATTGTCTGGATATCACAAATTTTTTATAAGTAGATTAGACATTTCATGCAGAAGGTATATGTACATCAAAACAAAAAATCAAATAAACAAAAAAGACACCTACAGAAATATGTAGATTATGGAAATTTATTTTCCAAAAGATTGTCTGATATACCCTTATAGGCAGAGTCATGTATTTAAGTTTTCTTCAAAATGTGTAGGAAATAATATAATTATAACATTTATTTTATTAAAGAATTGAAACTAATTTTACATTGAACCTACAGTCACATAATTTTTAAGACATGTAGAAATTGATGTTGGTCCATTCTAATTTTATTTAATTTATTATTTTTCTATTTTAAGGTATAGTTGGAATATTTTGGTTTGTTTTATGGATGTGGCTAGTTAGTGATACACCAGAAACTCACAAGACAATCTCCAATAATGAAAAGGAATACATTCTTTCATCCTTAAAAAATCAGGTATGGACTTTGGCAAAATTTAAAAATAATTTTAAACACTTCTTTTTTCTAAAGTAAGATACCAGTTGTTTAAAATAGATATTTCTACTGTGCATTCCTTAAGCAAAGCAGCCTGGGCAAATGAAATATATATGTTTTGTTATGTTTTCTACCTTTTGGTAAGTTTAAAATTTAACCTGCCAAGTATTGTGGTACATCCTAAAATCCCACCTACTCAGGAGGCTAAGGCATCATCTGGGCTTGGTGGTACCTGACTGTAATCCCTGTGACTCAGGAGGCTGAGGCAGGAGGATTACAGATTTAAGGCCAGCCTCAGCAACTTACTGAGATCCTGCCTCAAAATCTAAAAATAGCACAGTAGCTAAACTATGGAACCAGCCTAGATGCCCTTTAACAGATGAATGGATAAGGAAAATGTGGTGATATTTCACATAAGGCTGGAATATTATTCTGCCTTAAAGAAGAATGAATTTGTGGCATTTGCAGGTAATGGATGGAGCTGGAGATGTCACGCTAAGAGAAATAAGCCAAATCCAAAAAACCAAAGGTCAAATGTTTTCTCTGAAAAATGGATGCTGATCCACAATGGCAGGGGGGAAGAGAATGAAGGGAGTGAGGGGAAGAGAGGGGGCGTGGGAATGGTGGAATGAGATGGACATTATTACCCTATATACATGTATGATTACACAACTGGTACAACTTTGCACCATGTTCAACCAGAGGAAGAAGAAGTTGTGCTAGGGGCTGGAGTGATAGCTCAGCGGTAGAGTGCTTGCCTAGTACATGTGAGGCCCTGGGTTTGATCCTCAGCACCACATACAAATGAATAAATAAATAAAGTTATTTTTTAAAATTCCTTTAAAAAAATTAGTTGTGCTACATTTGTGTGCATTGTGTCAGTGTCAAAATGCATTCTACTGTCATGTATGATTAATTAGAACAGATTTTTTTTAAAAAACACTAAAAATAGGCTGGGAGATATAGCTTGGTGGTAGCACACACCTGAATTCAATCCCCAGTACTACAAAAATAATAAATTGTCAGGGCTGGGGATATAGCTCAGTTGGTAGAGTGCTTGCCTCGCATGCACAAGGCCTGGGTTTAATCCCCAGCACCACAAAAAAAAAAAATTATTATTATTATAATAAATTGTTTGAAAAAATCCCAATTTTTTCTAGATTAAAACCATGAAAAAAATTACTTTTTGAAGTCATTCTAGGGGCTGAGAGTATGGCTCAGTTGTAGAGCACTTGCCTAGCATGCATAAGACCCTGGTTTAATCCCCAATACCAAAAATAAAATAATAAAATAAAATATTCATTTTAAACCTTTTAAAGTAATTATTATCAACTGAGTAAGTATTAAGTTTGTTTTTCTTCTTTTTTTAATGTCTTGGTTGATCTTTATTTTGTGATTTTTTTAAATTCTATTTTGTTATATATATGACAGCAGAATGCATTACAATTTATATTACACATATAGAGCACAATTTTTCATATCTGTGGTTGTATACAAAGTATTTTCACACCGTTCTCTTCATACATGTACTTAGGGTAATGATGTCCATCTCATTCCACAGTCTTTCCTACTCCCATGCCTTCTCCCTTCCCCTTTCTCCCCTTTGTTCTATCTAGAGTTGGTCTAATCTACCCATGCTCCCTCCCCCAACTCCCCCAACTCCCCATTATGAATCAGCATTCTTATAAGTTTTTTTGGGGAATTGGCTAACTTCACTTATCATTATATTCTCCAACTCCATCCATTTACCTGCAAATGCCATGATTTTATTCTCTTTTATTACTGAGTAATATTCCATTATGTATATATGCCACATTTTTTTTTATCCATTCATCTATTGAAGGGCATCTAGGTTGGTTCCACAGTTTAGCTATTGTGAGTTGTGCTGCTATAAACATTGATGTGGCTGTGTCCTGTAGTATGCTGTTTTGAAGTCCTGTGGGTATATACCAAGGAGTGGGAGCATTTATGGTCATTTTTTTGTGGGGGGGGGGTGCTGGGGATTGAACTCGGGGTCTCTTGACCACTGAGCCACATCTCTAGCCCTATTTTGTACTTTACTTAGAGACAGTGTCTCACTGAGTTGCTTAGCGCCCTGCCATTGCTGAGGCTGGCTTTGAACTCACCATCCTCTTGCCTCAGCCTCTGGAGCTGCTAGGATTACAGGCATGTGCCACTGCGCCCAGCTGTTGTTCATGTTCTTGATCATTGCCATTCTGATTGGAGTGAGGTGAAATCTTAGTGTAGTTTTGATTTGTATCTCCCCTGATTGCTAGAGATGTTGAATATTTTTTTCATATATTTGTTGGCCATTTGTCTTTCTTCTTTTGAGGAGTTTCTGTTTAGTTCTTTTTGCCCATTTATTGATTGGGTTATTTGGGTTTTTGGTGTTTTTTGAGTTCTTTGTATATTCTGGATATTAGTCACCTATCAGAGGAGTAGCTGGCCAAGATTTTCTCCCATTCTGTAGGTTTTCTCCTCATGCTTTTAATCATCTCCTTTACTGTATAGCATATGTAGTTCTAATTCTGATTTAGAAATTGCTACAAAAGAGGAATCAAAACTTTAGGGCACCATAAAATTAATTCAAAAGGCTGTCTCATGACGAGCTTATAGACCACTTGTACTACTACTTTAAGATCATCAACTACTGCTGTTTTAAAAGATCTTTTTAAAAAAAAAAAAAACTATAGGAAGACATTGCCATTTCAACCACTGAGTTTTTATTTTCTGTATACCTGGTATTGTTTGGTTTTTGTTCTTTTCTTAACTATTGAGGATAGGATATTTTACAACTGTTTTGTTTTTCCTTTTATCTTTTAAAAATAATGTACAATTTTGCAGCATTATGAAGGAAATAAAATGGGAAACTGAGCTTAAATATTTAGTTGCTGTAAATTAAGAACATTAGATGCTGAGCGCAGTGGTGCATGCCTATAATCCCAGCAGCTCGAAAGCTAAAACAGGAGGATCACAAGTTCAAAGCCAACCTCAATAATGGTGAGGCGCTAAGCAACTCAGTGAGACCCTGTCTCTAAATAAAATACAAAATAGGGCTGGGGATGGGGTTCAGAGGCCAAGTGCCCCTGAGTTCAATCCCTGGTACAAAAAAAAAATTATTGCATGCAACTTTTGTAAATCAACTGCTGTTGTTTGCATTTTATAAGAAAATATTTTTCTATGCAATGTCACACTAGAATATATTCAAGTATTTGTTGAATGATCTTACTCTCCTTATATTCAAGATTTTACACATTTGGCAACAAATCATTTTTATAGTTTGTTCTTTTCCATTTCAATTTGTATGGAAAAAAAATGCTGCTTGAGCTATTGTTATAAATTTAATGATAAATTCTCTACCTAGGGGCTGGGGATGTGGCTCAAGCGATAGCGCGCTCGCCTGGCATGCGTGCGGCCCGGGTTCAATCCTCAGCACCACATACAGACAAAGATGTTGTATCCGCCAAATACTAAAAAATAAATATTAAAATTCTCTCTCTCTCTCTCTCTCCCTTTAAAAAAAAAAAATCTCTACCTAAACTTCAGTACTTCATCAATTTTTCTTCCATGAATTTCATTATCACTCAAAACTGCTTTTTTTTTTTGACAGTAATGTGGATTGAACCCAAGGCCTTGCACATTCTGTGCAAGAACTCTACCACTGACTTGACTCCCCAGACCTTTCAATTTTTTAACTTTTGAGACATAATCTCTGTATTGCTGTTGCTAGCCTTCAATTTATGATCATCCTGCCTTAGCCTCCTGAGTAGCTGGGATTACAGACATAAACCACAATGCCTATTTTATCACTCAGATCTCTAAGGAAAGTTTGCTTTCAAACTATTGCCTTGACAAATGATCTGAGCAATTTTTAAATTTCCTAGCTGTATGTATTTTCATTTATCAGCAGTGGCATTTTAGAAGAATGTAGAGCTCTAATAAAAGCTTTCATAAGATTTTTTGGCCAACAGTTGGCTATAATGAAGCCATGGAGAATATGTGTTTATATTGCTTCATTGGCAAATCATCTCTGATAATAATGTCTTGGAAATAATAACAAGAAAATAATCTCTGGATTTAGAAAATCAGAAAAAGCTGTTTGTACTTCATTAAGGTCTATGATAACCTGTGCTATCCGGTATGGTAGCCACCAGCCCCAAGTGGGCATTAAATTTTAATTGAAACTGATATAATTAAGGGTAGAAGGTGTAGCTTAGTAGTAGAGCACATGCTCAGCATGCATGAGGCCCTCATTTAAATCCCTAGCACCCTTAGTAAATAGTAATTTAATTAAAAATTCCATGTTATCAGTTACATTAGCCAAATTGCAAGGACTTAATAGCCACATGTCTATTGGTTACCATATTGAACAACACAAATATAAAATAACATTTTCATTGTCATAGCTACATGTCTATTGGTTACCATTGAAAAACACAAATACAGAAGAACATTTGCATTATCATAGAAGGTTCTATTAGACAGTGCTACCTGGGACAGTGCTACCTTTGGGAGATTGGGTGATTCTCCCAAAAAAAGCCTTGAAGAATTTTTTTTTAATGTCTCTAGATACTTGGGTAGTTTATCCTAATAACATTTAAAAATTTATCTTTCCTAGATTCAGTAGCACATGCCTATAATCCCAGCTACTAGGGAGACTGAGGCAGGATGATCACAAGTTTAAGGCCAGCCTTGGCAACTTAGCACGAGACCTTGTCTCCAAATGAAAAAGGGCTAGGGATGTAGCTCAATTGTAGAATGTCCCCTGGGTTAAATCTCCAGTACCATAAATAAATAAATCGAATTTGTGATGTAGCTTAATGCTAAAGCACCCCTAGGTTCAATCCCCAGTACCAAAAAAAGAGAGAACCTACTTTTTGTCAGGCTCATATGTTGGACATACAACTGATTTTGATTGGGTGATTCTCCCAAAAAACTCCATCAGATTATCAAAAATTGAATTGAGGGCTGGGGATGTGGCTCAAGCGGTAGCGCGCTCACCTGGCATGCGTGCGGCCCCAGTTCGATCCTCAGCACCACATACAAACAAAGATGTTGTGTCTGCCGAAAACTAAAAAATAAATATTAAAAAAATTCTCTCTCTTTAAAATTCTCTCTCTCAAAAAAAAATTAAATTGATATTTATAGGATGTGAAAATATGCCAGTCTGGCTAAAATTGTTTCATTTGTATAAATAAGATTACTACTAAATACTGGCAGAAAACTATAAAAGACACATACAGACCCATACAATCTTTGAAATATTTCACTTCCTTTATGGATTTTAAAACCATATTAAAATGTTCTTAATTCATTAAGTCTCTAAAATCCTCTTCCCTGAGCTCCTCAATCAAGGGGATGAGAGGAAGTGGGCTTTCTTTTAATCTAATCTTTACAGCAAGATTGATCCCTAAACTTGCTGCACATTGAAATCCTCTGGGATCTTTAAAAAACTTAGATGCCAGCAAGGTACAATGGCTTGTGCCTGTAATCCCAGCTACTCAGGAGGCTGAGGTAAGAAGATCACTTGAGTCCAAGAATTTGAGTTCAGCCTGGGCAACACGGACCTCATCTTCAAAAATGTAGATGGCTGTCTGGATGGATAGATTTCTCTCTCTCATAGATGGACCACAGTAGATAGATTGAGGTGGGTGGGAGAGATGCCTACCTCTCATTCATCCCCAAACTATGTAATTGTTGTGGAGAATGATGTTGATCTCCCTGGTTGACTTTAATATGGCAGCAAAGTTTAGGAACCATTACTCTATAGAACCAGCTGTAAAAGCCTTCTAAATTTTAAATTCCTTGGTACTACATTCAGATGATTTTTGTTGTTGTTTTGCTTGTTTTCATTTGTTCAGAAGGTCAGGGGTAAAGTACAGGCATCTGCAATTTTTTAGTGCTAGAAGTTATTCTGAAGTACAGCTGGAATTAAGAATCACTTTTGTAAGCCTGGCACAGTAATCCCAGCAGCTCGGGAGTCTGAGGCAGGAGGAGTGCTGGTTTGAAGCTAGCCTCAGCAACCTAGTGAGGCCCTAAGCAACTCAGTGAGACCCTGTCTCAAAATGAAAAATAAAAAGGGCTGTAAATATGGCTCAGTGGTTAAGTGTCCTTGGGTTTAATCCCTAGTACAAAAAAAAAAAAATCACTGCTATAAAAGAATAAATTCCCCTCTTCCCTTCTATCCCTTATCTCTCCCACTCCTCTTCATTGTACTGGGGATTTAACAGGGAAACTACTGAGCTATATACCTATCCTTTTTTAAATTTTATATTGCAATAGGGTCTTACTATACACCTCGGACTCTCTTTTTTTTTTCTTTAATTTTTATTGTTGGTTGTTCAAAACATTACATAGTTCTTGACAAATCATATTTCACGCTTTGATTCAAGCGGGTTATGAACTCCCATTTTTACCCCGGATACAGATTGCAGTATCACATCAGTTACACATCCACTGTTTTACATATTGCTATACTAGTGTCTGTTGTATTCTGCTGCCTTTCCTATCCTCTACTATCCCCCATCCCCTCCCCTCCCATCTTCTCTCTCTACCCCATCTAATGTAATTCATTTCTCCCCCTTGTTTTTTTTTTCCCTTTCCCCTCACTTCCTCTTGTATGTAATTTTGTATAACCATGAGGGTCTCCTTCCATTTCCATGCAATTTCCCTTCTCTTTCCTTTTCCCTCCCACCTCTCACCCCTGTTTAATGTTAATCTTCTTCTCATGCTCTTCCTCCCAACTCTGTTCTTAGTTACTCTCCTTATATCAAAGAAAACATTTGGCATTTGTTTTTTAGGGATTGGCTAGCTTCACTTAGCATAATCTGTTCTAATGCCATCCATTTCCCTGCAAATTCTATGATTTTGTCATTTTTTAATGCAGAGGCTGGCCTCGAACTCTTAAGCCTCCTGGCTCAGCTTCCCAAGTCACTGGGATCATAGAAATGCACCATTGCACCTGGCATACCCCTTATATCTCTGTTATAAGATAGGAAATAAAAGAGTATATCTACTAAGATATCCAGTAAAAAGTCCATATGAAAAAGGCCAGAAGAAGGTTAATGCTGATTTTTCCTCTTTTTGAAATAACAGTGAACCCTGGAAACAGAAACAAATTGTTCTTGTTTTTGAGAAAGGAACCAGAGAACCTCAGTGTATAGAAAATATAAAAATCCAATACCCCAGACTAGTGATCTCCAAACTTTCTTGATCATGCAACCCATCCATAAACAGGTAGGGGGCTCACAATCTGAATGTATTTATATTTACTCAGAAGTTACCCAAATATATTATTGTACTTGCATTCATCATAAGTATATACAAAAATAGACTTTTTTGTGTTGTACTGGGGATTAAACCCAGAGCCTTGCACATGTTAGGCAAGCACTCTATCACTGAGCTACATCACCAGCCCAAAAAATAGACCTTTTAAAGGGTGAATAAGATGAAATAAAAAGTATACATGTATATTTTTAAAGTTTTTAATAGGAATAACCTTTTTGCTGTCACTTTAAAAATAGTACTAATTAGTTAACATAATACTGCTGTCTAATGAAGGCCATGTGTTTGAATATGCTGTCTTTTATGATTTCCTGTTGTTTTCCTTGATGAGTTAGTAACAAAATAATCAGGAGGAAAAATGGCAGCTTAGATACTTTCTTAATGTTCACCATGCTTATATTACTATGATTCTCCTCTATTGCTCTATAGGAATCTTTTGAAGACATGGTCCGTTATTTGAGGTTTGTTTTAATTAAAACTCAAATCATAAATCCACTTATATTACTTAAATTGTAAACTTCAAAATATGTCATAAAACACTGAGGGCAAATAGACAAGTGAGGATGCCATTATTAACTCCTCTGAATTAGGGAAATCATTCCATACATGATCATCCAATATATCTAGAGCCAGCCTATTTATTATATATTGATAGAGTTTAGTTTCTTTTTCAGAAAAAAAAATTTAGTGTAAATAGAAATTCTAATAAGTCTTTCTTCACCCCAGTGGGTCATCTTATATATATATATCTCTGGGGTGCTTACACCTTACTTTGAAGACCACTACTAGATATGGCTATATACAAATCCTTTCTATTACATAATTTATTTTTCTTTTTGAGATGGGGTCAGACTGTGTTGCCATGGCTGGTCTTGAACTTGTAGGCTCAAACAATCTTCCCACCTTAGCCTTCCAAGTAGCCAGTACTAGCAACGTGAGCCACCATACCCAGCTTGCACAACTCTTATGAATCATTTAAATTGAATAAAGATTGAATAATAAAATATGAATTCTAACTTGATCTTCTGATCTCTTTTATTTATCCTTATGTGAACTTTTTACTGTGATTTTGAAACTATTCTCTATTTCATGGAGATATTGATGTTGAAGGTGACTTCTAACATCATAAGGAGTTCTTAGCGTTGACATTATAACTCTACAATTATATTGCCATTTTTTTCCTGTAATCCGAATCCTGAACTTTCTAGTTAATATATATAAATACATATATATATATATATGTATATATAAATTTATATATATATTTATATATGTGTGTATGTATATATTTATGTATATTGATATATGTATGTATATATATTTATATATATATATGAACTTATATGTTTATATGTATGTGTACATATTTAATGAAACAAACATTTATAATGTATTCTTCTATTTAATATCTCAAAGGAGTTGATTTTTAAATGTAGAATTTACTAATCAGGGCTGATGTTCTCTATGTGGTCTAGATTGAGTCTCAGCTGATAAGATACAGGTCTCAACATTAACACAGCTATAGCTTATTCTAGCTTTGTCTGTGTTCTTTAGCTTTCTTCACAGAAGTCAGTGCCATGGATACCCATTTTAAAATCACTACCACTTTGGGCTATTGTAGTTGCTCATTTTTCGTACAACTGGACTTTTTATACTTTATTGACATTATTGCCTACTTACATGAAGGAGATCCTAAGGTTCAATGTTCAAGAGGTAAGAAATAATAATTATCTGTTTCTTAAATAGAATATATATTTTACAATTACATGCAGAATTTATTTTTATATATTTTGAAACTCAAGTTATTTGTGTCTTCCCTTTTACTCTTCTGTACTAAATTTTAGGAACTTTTCTTTTTTGTCTCTACTGTTAAGCCTTCTCTTTATGTTAACTTTTTTTTTTTTTTTTTTTTTTGGTATTGGGGATTGAACCAAGGATCTCACACATGCTAAGCACGTGCTCTGCCACTAAGCTACATCCCAGCCCTGTGTTAATTCTTAATTCATGATATATTTTGCTTAGAATCCTTTTATCTATATGATATTATTAGGGGACTGGGGTTGTGGCTCAGTGATAGAGCACTTGCCTAGCACATTTGGGTTTGATCCTCAGCACCATATATAAATAAATATGTTAAATAAAGGTATTGTGTCCATCTACAACTAAAAAAATATTTTGTTAAAAAAGATATTATTAGGCCAGCATGGTGGTGCACACCTATAATCCCAGCAGCTCTAGAGGCTGAGGCAGAAGGATCACGAATCCAAAGCCAGCCTCAGCAAAACCGAGGTACTAAGCAACTGAGTAAGACCCTCTCTCTAAATAAAATACAAAATAGGGCTGGGAATATTGGCTCAGTGGTCAAGTACCCCTGAGTTTTTTTTATATATATATATATATATATATATATATATATATATATATATATATATATACATACATACATATATATATTGGGCTGGGGATGTGGCTTAAGCGGTAGCGCGCTCGCCTGGCATGCGTGCGGCCTGGGTTCCATCCTCAGCACCACATACAAAAAAAAAAAAAAACAAAGATGTTGTGTCTGCTGAAAACTAAAAATAAATAAATACTAAAATATTCTCTCTCTCTCTCTCTCTCTCTCTCTCTCTCTCTCTCTCTCTCTCTCTCCCCCCCCTAAAATAAATAAATAAATAAATATATATATATATATATATATTTTTTTTTTTATTAGTTCCTGGCAATATGCTAGGATATCAAATGACAAATTTAAACAATACTTTCTTCTAAAAAGAATGATAGTGGGGCTTTACCCATGTCCAGCCTTATATCTTAAATAGACATTAAAATAGACATTTCTCCAATGATTACAGATGACCAGTAGGTACATACAAAGATGTTCAACATTATTATTTTTTAGGGAAATGCAAATCAAATTTATAATTAGATACCACTTCATACCTATTACAAAGGCTGTTAAAACACACACACAAACACACACACACACACACACAAATAACAAGTGTTGATGAGGATGTGGAAGAATTGGAACCTCCTACATTGGTAGTAGGAATGTAAAACATCTGCTATAAAAAATAGTTTGGAGGCTGGGGATGTTGCTCAGTGGTAGAGCACTCGCCTAGCATGTGCAAGGCCCTGGGTTCGATCTTCAGCATCTCATAAAAATAAGTTATTTAAAAATAAAAAATAGTTTGATACTTCTTCAAAAAGTTAAAAAGTTATCATATGACCCAGCAATTCTATTCCTAGGTCTGTACTCAAGAAAATTACAAACATAGATCCTCTTGCAGGTGTGACTCAGTGGTAGAGCATTGAAACCCTGGGTTCCATCCGCAGCCCTGGGGTGTGGGGAGGGGGGAATATATTATGTATTTAAAAGATATGTGAATAGGATTTGAAAATATTTCTATCATATAGAAGCCTTTTTTTTTTGGGGGGGGGGGTAACTAGGGATTGAACTCAGGGGAACTTGACCATTGAGCCACATTCCCAGCCCCATTTTGTATTTTCTTTAAAGACAGGGTCTCACTGAGTTGCTTTTCACCTTGCTTTTGCTGAGGCTGGCTTTGAACTCTCAAGCCTCCTGCACCTCAGCAATTCAGCAATACTATAAGCAACCTATCTCAAAAATTGGTTTAAAAAAGGGGATACGGGGCTGGGATTGTGGCTCAGCGGTAGAACGCTCGCCTAGCACGGGCGGGACCTGGGTTCCATCCTCAGCACCACATAAAAATAAAATAAAAATAAAAGATGTTGTGTCCACTGAAAACTAAAAATAAATATTAAAATAAATTCTCTCTCTCTCTCTATTACAAAAAAAAAGGGGGGGGGGGGTGGACAGAGTCAATCCTTGGTACCAAAAGAGTCAAAGGACAGTAAAAATGTGACAGAGTCAATGGATTAGGGTTAGGTATTAGAGGGAGTGAGCTGGTGAGATAGGTAGTAATCAATGGGAAGCATGAAACTAAGATAATCAAAAGGTTGAAGTTATTAGTAATAGGAACATCTATGCAGAAAGTAGGAGACTGGAGCCATAGTCCAGGCAATAGATGAGCAGTGCCTCATATGGGTAGAAGAAGGGTAGACAAAGAAGCAGAAAGACTCATCTTTTTGTAAAGGACGTAGAACAGACAGTGCTTGACAAAGGACGTAGACAGACAGTGCTGGAGGCAAAACGTGGGAAAAGAAACTACCAAGCGCCCAGATTCTGGGAAAAGAAAAAAACTGTATGCTTATATGTGAACATAAAATGCATTTTCAGCTCTAAAATAGTTTGAGCTAGCATAGGGTCACAAGCCTGTAATCACAAGTTTTGAGTCCAGCCTTGGCAGTTGCAAGATCCTGTTTCAGAATAAAGAAACTAAAACTATGGTGTCTAGGAAGGCACATCTACAGATACTTGTGAGTATGATTACTGTCTGCTCTAAGCAAGATGATGCTTTTCTTATGGGGAAAGGAAGATGGTTATGATTGGGCCAGAACCATGGAAGGGCTCTGTAGTGGCCAGCAAAGTTCTATTTCTTAAAGAGAATTATTTCTTGACCTAGGTGGTTCTTAGAATAATTCATTAAGCTTTACATTTAATTCATTTGGTTTTCTTTGTGTGCATTTTATTTTGTAATAAAAATATACATTTTGAAATAAATAAGTAAAAATCGCCAGGAGTGGTGGCACATGCCTATAATCCCAGCAACTGGAGAGGCTGAAGCATTAGGACTCAAATTCAAGACCCTAGGCCCTAAGCAACTTAGGGATACCCTGTCTGAAACTAAAACAATAAAAAAGATTGGGGTGTAGTTCAGTGGCCCTGGATTCAATTCCCAGTACCAAATAAATTTAAAAAGCAAAAATCAAAGACAAAAAATGGTTAGTGGAGAGAATCAACAGGCTAACAGAAAGACTTATCTTCTCCCACAACCCATATTTCAGAGTAACAGCCAAGATTACCTTAAGCAGACAAGACTATGATGAGCCTGGTTTCCCTCTAAAACAGATTCTTAGGGAGCTATGTTGAAGGGGGGGGGGGTGGGGGCGATGAACAACTTGTGTACGTTGATACAGCAGGAGTGGGAGCCATTTATTGTAGGACCGGAGGGGTATATATACATTCCACACAGCTTATCTTAATTAACATAAACTAGATACAGCAGTCAACCAATAAGGAATCTCCACACTTAATGGCTTGCTGGCATTGCTTCACAAACCACTCCCTCTGCAAAATGCCAGGCGCCATCTTGACTTGTTTACAGACTCTAACATGTAACTATATCAACATTAACAGAATATTGCTACCTATTTCTTTTGTTATCATTGTTGGTAGTTGGCTTTGATATGCATGTATTTGTGTGTGTGTGTGCGCACATGCACATGCACGCACACACTTCATTTTTTCCTTCCACCATAATTAATCTGTATCTTATTTCTTCCAGAATGGATTTTTGTCTGCATTGCCTTATTTTGGTTGTTGGTTATGTATGATTCTGTCTGGTCAAGCTGCTGACAATTTAAGGGCAAAGTGGAATGTTTCAACTATATGTGTTCGAAGAATTTTTACCCTTATTGGTGAGTGAAGTGAATCAAGTTTTGTTTGGGGTTACAGAGAGTTCTTTTTTTTTTTTCTTTCTTAATTTTATTTATTTTTATGTGATGCTGAGGATCGAACTCAGTGCCTTACACGTGCTAGGCGAGCATTCTACCACTGAGCCACAACCCCAGCCCTGTTTGGGGTTACAGTTATTGAAATGGGGGGCCAGTGAGAACAAAGTATTTTTCTACTCTCACACATAATTAACACAATATTCCACACCAAAACATTTTACCTCTGGTCACCAATATGTGTGTGGGGATTTCTCGCACACAGCCAGTTCTGCAGTGGATACCAGCTGAGTGTTCTGTATTTCAATTCCAACACTATCTACCTATGTATACTGTAGGTCCCACAAGTTGAGAGCTGAGTCCAATAAGACCACACACACACACACACACACACACACACACACACTTCAGATGCCAATCTCAAGTCATTTATATATATATATAATTTTTTTTTGTATTGGGGATTGAACCCAGGATGCTTTGCCACTGAGCTACATCCTAGCCCTTTTTATTTATTTATTTATTTATTTATTTATTAAGACAGGGTGTCACTAAGTTGTTAGGGCCTCACTAAATTGCTGAGGCTGGCTGTGAACTCGTGATCCTCCTCAGCCACTGGGATTATAGGCATGGACCATTGCACACAGCTTGTACACTGTACTTTGGAGTAATCAGCTATAAATTGGTATTCCCATGACCCCATGTTAAGTTCAGTTAACTTCCTAGAGCAGCTCACAGAACTCAGTTAAACACTACTTATGTTTACTTGTTTATTATAAAGGCTATTGCAAAGCCGATGGTTGAATGGCCAGATGGAAGAGTGGCTGAGGGCAAGGTATGTGGAAAGGGGCAATGAGATTCCATGCCCTTTTCAGGAGCACTACCTTCTAGGAACCTTCACATTTTCTGCTTTTTGGAAGCTTATCGGAGCCTTGTCCTTTTGAACTCTTATGTAGGCTTCATAATGCAGACGTTGTTGAGTAAAATAATTGGACATTGATGATCAACTCTCGTTAGGCCCCTTCCCCCTCCCCCAAATATTGGAGGCGGCTAGAGCTAAAAGTCCCAATCTTCTAATCATGCCCTGGTCTTTCTGGTCACCAGCCCCCATCCAGAAGCAGCAGGCACTAGTCCCAGTAGCACCAGTCATCTTATTAGCAAACAAAAGACAATCTTATCACTCCAGAATTCTTAGGAGCTATGTGCAGAGACCAAATATATATTTCTTCTTATAATATCAAAACAATACAAGGTAAAATAAAAACAATAATCTGTCATTTATTTTGTTTACATATTAAAACACTCTGATGCATTTAGTGCATTTAGTACATGATGGGTTTTTTTGAACCATACATTTTGAGGATTAAGATTTATAATTTCTGTTGTCTCTGTCATAGTTCATGGTCACAAAAAATGACTTATTTTGCTAAACATCATCCCCAGGATTTTATAATCACTTTGTTTCATCTATAATTGGCAATGAAAATAGTTTTTCTAAGTAAATGCACTTTAAATTTCAAAATATTTACTAATATCATTATAACAAATGAATTCTAAATCAAAGATCTCCAAGGAATCTTAAGTACTCATGTGTTTGAGACTCTTTTCAGAAAGTTAAATTTTAGAACTATCTGAGAGAGTTATTTAGCTTTTTAAAGGTCTGTAGTAATTAGAGACCCTGGAAGTTATTGATGGCTATACTTCAGTAATTACATTGTGAAAGGATCCTATTTATATTAATTCTGCAAACATCTGCCATCTAACCACTGGAACATGCTGTCCTGTTCCATTGCTTACTTCCTTTGACTCCATATCTACAAATGACATAAATCCCTTGGATTTAACCTGATTTCTCTTTTTTAGTTTTCTATGGATGAACCTGCTCCATTCTATACAATACAAAAGCTACTAGCCATTTACAGTAGCCACTAGCCATTTAAATTTAAGGGGGCTGTTTAAATTTAATTGAAATTTTAAAATAAGTTCCTCAGTTGTAGTATATACAAATGCAACATTTCCATTATCACAGAGTTACTATATAGCATTGTTGTAGACACCAAAAAACTGACAACCACAATTTGTACTTTATGCCTAATTGCCTGTAATGACCTATACATAACAGTTTTTACTTATTAAAAACAGAGATTTTTCTAACTTTATGCAATACAGTTTATTATTTAATTTATCTTCTTTTGTTATTCTAATTTTAAGTCATCTTGTTAAATATGGCTTCTCTCTGCACTCATACTTTTCAGTCATTCTCTTTTTTATCTTTTTTTTTTTTTAACTCTATAGTCCTTTAGCTGAGTTCTGATCACATGCAGATTGTATAAAAAGATTTTGGTTAACCTCATTATGGTTAACTATTGTATTAGTTGTATTATGCCCATATGTTTTTTTCTTTTCTTTCTTTTTTTTTTTTCAGTGGTATGGATTGAATCCAGGCCCTCATGCATGCTTCTAGTGCTGTACCACTGAGCTGCATCCCCAGCTCTGCCCATAGTTTTCTAACAGTTTTGGAGTTTTGTTCTTTGATGAAACTCATACATCACTCATGTGTTATAGGCAATTCAATGTTTCTACATTAGGTGGCAGCAGTGTTGAATTTCAGATTTACACTATCTTAAGGTAGAGCAAATATTAATGCGGGAGCTTTTTCTTTTATAACTTTTTAACTCCAGGAATGATTGGACCTGCAGTATTCCTGGTAGCTGCTGGATTTATAGGCTGTGATTATTCTTTGGCTGTTGCATTCTTAACTATATCAACAACACTGGGAGGCTTTTGCTCTTCTGGATTTAGCATCAACCATCTGGATATTGCACCTTCGTGAGTACAAGTATAAAGAGTTGCTGTGATTGACTTTAAATTCTTTTTTTTAATCATGGTAAAACATAAATAACATAAGATTTACCGTTGTAAGCCAGGCATGGTGGCACACGCCTGTAATCCTATCAGCTCAGGAAGCTGAGGCAGGAGGATCACGAATTCAAAGCCAACTTCAGCAATTTAGCAAGGCACTAAGCAAATCAGTGAGACCCTGTCTCTAAATAAAATGCGAAAAAGGTCTGGGGAGGGGTATGTCTTAGTGGTTAAGTGCCCCTGGGTTCAATCAGGGGCTATGGAGTTGTTTTTAAATTTAAACTTTTAACTACCATCACCTCTGTCCACAGATAAATGTTTGTTGTTTATTGAGTGTACATATAGATGAAATATGAGCTCAAGAAGCTTAAAATAATAAGGAGGGGCTAGGGTTGTGGCTCAGTGGTGGAGCACTTGCCTAGCAAGTGCAAGGCCCTGGGTTTGATCCTCAGCACCACATAAAAATAAATAAATAAAATAAAGGTAGTGTATCCAACTAAATAAATAAATAAATAGATAGATAACAATGAAGGAAAGGAATATTTGGAAAGCAAAGTAATTTCAAGGCAACTTTGCTAAATTTAGTGATAATATGAAAAATCAGATAATTTGAAATAATAAACAAACCTTCAAGTTAAGGACTAAAGGCACAAGAAGCCACCTCTATGGGAGAAAGGGCAGATAGATGTCTACTTTCCTAATGTGGATACACAGTGACTAGGGGCATGTATTTGAAATTTATAAAATAGGAACTAAACCTAATTACCTAAAATGGATTCAAGGAAATAGTAAATAAAGAATTGAAATAGGTTCTTTTATGCTACTAAGTCAAAGAAACAAATCTTGAAAATATTTCTCTTAAACAAATTATACTGTTCAATTATGTAGCTTTTAGAATTATAGAAAGTTAGAACCAGGAGGATATAGAGTAATCTCATCCTATCAGTCTTGTTCATGGACCAGAGGCCTCAACATCACCTGAGAACTCAGAAGAAATGTAGAATCTCAGGCCCCAACATGGACCTACTGAACTAGAATCCATACTTCCAGGTATGGTGGCATATACCTATAATTCCAGCTGCTCAGGAGGCTGAGGCAAGATGATTACAAGTCCAGGGCCAACCTAGGAAACTTAGTCAGACCCTGTCTCAAAATCAAAAACATAAAGGGAGAAGGATATAACTTGGTGGTAGACTTAAGACTTAAAATCAGGTCTTCTAGCTCCAGAGTCCAAGGATCTTTCAAGTTGCCTCTCACAGTTGTCCCTCGATATCTAGAAGGGATTGGTTCCAGGTCTCCCATGGCAACTAAGATCCAAGGAAGTTCAAATTTCTTATATAGAGTTGGGCACAATGGTGCATGCCTCTAATCCCAGCTGCTTCAGAGGCTGAGGCAGGAGGACGCAAGTTTAAGCCATCCTCAGCAACTTAGTGAGAGTCTAAGCAACTTAGTGAGACACTGTCTCAAAAAATATAAAAAAGAGGACTAGGGATGTGGTTCACCAGTTAAGTGCCCCTGGCTTCAATCCCCCAGACCAAAAAAATAAAATAAAGAATCCCTTGTATAGGGCTGGGGTTGTGGCTCAGTAGTAGAGCGCTCATGTAGCACGTGCAAGGCCCTGGGTTCAATCCTCAGCACCACATAAAAATAAATAAATAAAATAAAGGTATTGTGTCCAACTACAACTAAAACAATAATATTTTAAAAATTTTAAAAAAAACTGCATAGTATTTGCATATAACCTACACCCTCCCATATACTTTATTTATTTTTTTTAAGAGAGAGAGAGAGAAAGAGAGAGAGAGGAAGAGAGAGAGAATTTTAATATTTATTTTTTTAGTTCTCGGCGGACACAACATCTTTGTTTGTATGTGGTGCTGAGGATCGAACCCGGGCCGCACGCATGCCAGGCGAGCGTGCTACCGCTTGAGCCACATCCCCAGCCCTACTTTAAATCATCTCTAGATAACTTATCATACTTAATATAATGTAAATGCTATAATTGTTTTAATACTGTATTATTTAGGGAATAATGACAAGAAAAAATGTACATATTCAGAATTTTTAAAAATATTTTTGAGGGCTTGGGGTTATGGCTCAGCAATAGAGTGCTCACCAGACACGTGCAAGGCGCTGGATTCAATCCTCAGCACCACATTAAAAATAAATAAATAAAATAAAGGTATTGTGTCCAACTACAACTAAAATAAAATTAAATTAAATTTAAAAAGCCTAAAGGGTGCTTGAGTCCAGTTTGGACAAAAATTAAAGAAAACAACCAGTCACAGACTGTTGTTGAAACATAATTTGGTAATTCTTCCTCAAAGAAAGTCTGGGAAACATCACTAAAAACCTTTAAAATACACATACAAATAAACTAATTCTAAAAATTTCTCCTGAATAATCCATCAAAAAGAGCAAAAAAATAAATAAATATTTTTGATTTGTGTTTGGTTGAATCTACAGATGGGAAAATCTTAAAGAACTGGTTGTTTAGAGATCCTTGTAGTTGTTTTGAAAACTCAGGGGAAAGAACTCATTGCAGAGACACATACATGGTTGCTTCAATTGATGTAAGTGTATCATAAAACTAAGTAAATAAATATAAGAAGTAAAAATTATAGAGAATATAAAGTTACTTCAGCAGCCACCCAGCCTGAAGGAAGGTAATAATCAACCTACTCTATTTCATGGAGCAGAAGTATAGTTTAGGAATTCATCAGGTTCCTGAAGTCTATCCAAAGTTCTAGAATCAGGTGAAACCCTGCTCTCTTGAACTAGAAATAAAAGAAAATCAGATCATCAAATAAAAATTAGAGCTATTGTCAAAAGAAAATGGAAGTGGATGCCAGAGAAGAAAAAAATATCCAAGTTACCTACCCTATAGGATAGGATTTTGAGCAGTTATTGTCACAGAATTCTAGTACTCCAACAGCACAGAATCCAGACTGAGTTCATACAACAATGTTCTCTTCCAAGCAGTCATCAATCTTTCATGGCCCTTCCTGGCCAAGTGTAATATAAATACTTGAATGAGCTTCTTGGTGCTGACATTTAGAATTTCACAGCATTCATCTGCACTTAATATCTGTCACCAAAAAGACCTGGCAACATCACAGATTCCTCCTACTGCCAAGGTGCTAATAGTTTTTTTTAAAAAGAGAGAAGGAGACAGGGCCTGCCAAGCTTGGTTAATTTAAGATACACTCCCTAAAGGGGATAAGCCAAAAAAATCTGTGCCTCATAGTTTTGTTATTGTATTATGTATGGATGTATGGTTTTTAAAAAAAAATTGTGATGTGTACGGATAACTGAATTTAGTTCAGTGGGAATCTTTTTTTGTCCTAGAAATTGAACCAAGGGTCATTCTACCATTGAGTCCCATCCTCAGCCATTTTATTTCTTATTTTGTGACAGGGTTGCTAAGTTACTAAGGCTGGCCTTGAACTTATGATCCTCTTACATCAGCTTCCCAAGTTGCTGGGATTATAGGCATGCACCACCATGCCTGGCTAGGATTTTTTAATTTAGGCACCTTCCCATTCAAAATGTGGAAAGGGATTTCAGATAATAGTCTGTAGCCTAGGTATTGAAGATCCAAATCCCTAATAGAAATTGCTTTATCCCACAATAAGACTACACTTCCCTAGCATGTATGAGGCATTGGGTTCGATCCCTAGCACCACATAAAATAAACAAATAAAATAAAGGTATTGTGTCCATCTACAACTAAAAAAAATATTTTTAAAAAAGGACTATATAAATGAATAAAACAACAAACTACTTTCAACCAAAATTTTATTTTATAATAACACCTATTCTTTCAAAAGAAATTGAAAGCTGTGATTAGACTTTGTATATGTCTAGGTAACCATTATGAAAAATAAATTAATAAATGCCATTTATGTGCTTAAGTACTTTTTTTTATATACCTTTGTTTTATTTATCTATTTTATGTGGTGCTGAGAATCAAACCCAGTGCCTCATATGTACTAGGCAAGCGTTCTACTATTGAGCTACAACCCCAACCCCTTAAGTAATTTTTTTAACCAAACTCCTCTATCACTTTGCCAGAATATCAAACCTAAATCTAATGAGTCCTCTAGCATCTACAGGCTACATCCCTCCAATGTGCCAAAACACAGGGGACATAAAAAAAATTATGTTAAATGAACTGGACGTGGTGTTGCACACCTATAATCCCAGTGACTCAGGAGGCTGAGGCAGGAGGATCACAAGTTCAAAGCCAGCCTCAGTAATTTATCGAGGCACTAAGCAACTCAGTGAGACCCTGTCTCTAAATTAAATACAAAAAAGGGCTGGGGATGTGGCTCAGTGGTTGAGTGCCTCTGAGTTCAATCCCCAATATCAAAATAAAAGGGGAGGGGATTATGTTAAATGACACTTCAGGGATGTAACCTATAAAATCCAAAATTTAGGAATATGTACAGGACAAACATCTCAGTATCTTCAATCAAAAAAAGACAGCAAGTCAGGAATGGTGCACAACAATAATCCCAGCTACTTGGGAGGCTAAGGCAGGAAGATCACAAGTTCAAGCCCAGAGCAAGACCCTGTCTCAAAATAAAAAATTAAAATGGTCTAGAAAAGTAGTTCAGTAGTATAGCACCCCTGGGTTCAATCCCAAGTACCAAAAGAGACAGAGGGTAATGACAGCAACTTTTAAAAATGAACTAGATGATACCCACAGATTGGTTTTGTTATTGTTGTTACTTGCAGTACTGAGGATTGAACTCCGGGTGCTCTGCCACTAAGCTACATCCCAGCCACCCTCCCCCCACCTTTTTTTTTTTTTTTCATACAAGGGATTGAACACAGGGGAACTTAACCACTGAGAAACATCCCCATCCCTTTTATATTTTTAATTTTGAGACAGGGTCTTCCTATGTCGCTTAGGGCCTTACTGAATTACTGAGGTTGTCATTGAATTTGCAAACCTCCTGCCTCAGCCTCCCAAGCCACTGGAATTATAGGCATGTACCACATTCAACTCCAGCCCCTTTTATTTTTATTTTGAGACAGGGTCTTCTAGTCATATAAAATTCCTGATCAGAAATTTGCACCCATGGAGCCCATTCCCAGGGGGAAGGGAGGACTACTCTGCATGGATCAAAGCTCCCACATTCAGTGTTGTCCGGGCCCCATGACTCTCTGCTGTAGGTCACATGCCACCATTCATTAGTAACATGTATTGAATAAGCACTTGCATTGTACTGGGCACTAGATATAATTAAGGGCAATAAAGCATGAGTTTGAAGTGAGACTGGAGTCAGAATCAGCAAACTCAAATTAGGACAATTACTTTAAAGCCATAAAGATATTGATATGACTGGTCAGTATGAGAAGTACCAAGCAAGGGGTTAGGATGGAAGGAGTGTGGATTTTAGGTAGCATATTTATAGTATGAGCAAAAATAGATAGCAGAGATGAATATGGCAGATATGATCTGAAGGTGTGATTGTGCAGTACTGGGGATAAGGCTGTATAGATGGGCCAGGGCCAGGTCATGGTAAATCCAGGCAAAAGACTGTAATCCTCTTTTTTTTTTTTTTTTTTTTTTTTGCCTTTTCTCTCTTTTGGACTGAGGATTGAACCCAGGGGTGCTCTACCACTGAGCCACATCCCCAGCCCTATTTTGTATTTTATTTAGAGACCGGGTCTCACTGAATTGCTCAGCACCTCACTTTTGCTGAGGCTGGCTTTGAACTCATGAGCCTCCTGCCTCAGCCTCCTGAGCCACTGCGATCACAGGCATGTGTCACCACACCTGGCCCGCAGTCTTCTTAAAGTAAATGTTAGACCATCCTTGTAGGTACCTGAGTAGAAGAGGAGTGACCTGACAAAATCATGACTATTCAAATTAAATTTTATACAATCTGAGAGGCTGATCAACTATATGTAAAATGCCCTTAAGAATGTTTATTCTCGGGCTGGGGATGTGGCTCAAGCGGTAGCACGCTCTCCTGGCATGCGTGCGGCCCGGGTTCGAGCCTCAGCACCACATACAAACAAAGATGTGTCCGCCGAAAACTAAAAATAAATATTAAAAAAAAAAAAATTCTCTCTCTCTCTGTTTAAAAAAAAAAGAATGTTTATTCTCTGAGGTTCTATTTCTTGATTAGGTGTTAGTGACATTGTTGTCTTTGCTTTGTGAAAATTCAGCAAACTGTACACTGGTGGCTTGTGTATTTTTTTCATATGTATGTTACATTGAAAAAGATTTCCTTGCCAGGTGCCATGCCACGTGCCTATAATTCCAGTGGCCTGGAAGGCTGAGGCAGGAGGATCACAAGTTCAAGGCCAGTCTCAGCAACTGTCTCAAAATAAAAAATAAAAAGGGCTGGGGATGTAGCTCAGTGGTAGAGCACCCCTGGTTTCAATCCCTAATACCAAAAAAACAAAAACAAAAAATTATTAGTACACCTAATAGGGTGTGAGAGTGCTCCATTGGGACTACTGGACATATTACATGTACATATCTGTGAACTCATAGATAATCAATCTATCAATACTTGCATGAGCTATCTGTCACATAGATATCTATCACATATCTTGCATGACAATCTATCACATACTTGCATGAGCTCACACCTTGTAGATCTAGGTTAGAAGTATTTAGGTTCCTAGCCCAGTGTGGTGGTGCATGCCTGCAATCCTAGTAGCTCAGGAGCCTGAGGCAGGAGGATTACAAGTTCTAGGCCAGTCTCAACAATTTATTTTTTTTTTTTTAGAGAGGGAGGGAGAGAGAGAGAATTTTAATATTTATTTTTTAGTATTTGGCGGACACAACATCTTTGTTTGTATGTGGTGCTGAGGATCGAACCCGGGCCGCACGCATGCCAGGCGAGCACGCTACCACTTGAGCCACATCCCCAGCCCCAGTCTCAACAATTTAGTGAGGTTCTAAGCAACTTAGCAAGACCTGTCTCAAAATTTAAAAATTAAAAGGACTGGGATTGTGCCCCAGTGGTATAACAACCTTGGGTTCAATCTTCAATCCCCAGTATCCCCCAAAAAAACTTTAGATTTCTGATAATCAGTCTAACAAGATTTCTTTATAGAAAATGATAAGTACTTCATTCTTCTTAAGATGGTACTTCCTGAAGATCTTGGCCATAATATACTTTTTTAGTTTACATACATTCCTTATATATTATAAATTGAAAAAATCAACAGGACATTACCATTTTTCAAATATAAGCAGAAATTCTTTAGATTTCTATCTAAGCCAGGTACACTGGCACATACATGTAATCGCAGCAATTTAGGGGGCTGAGGCAGAAGGATCACAAATTCAAGGCCAGTCTCAGCAACTTAGCAAGACCCTGTCTCAAAATAAAAAGGGTGGGGATTTGGCTCAGTGGTATAGTGCCCCTGGGTTCAATCCTCAGAACCAAAAAACGGCACCTGCTGATGCAGCTCCGTGGTGGAGAGCTGGCATAATATCAAATGAGACCCAGAGTTTAATCTCCAGTACCAAAAAAAAAAAAATAGTAATAATAAGCTAGACACACAAAACTTCCTATCTAGATACAGTGATGTATAGAAATCATATGTCAGCACTATTCTGCATCAGGATAAAAAGGATAATTTCACTGGTTGTATTCCTCTATGTAATGTTAGAATGTTAATTAACTATTGAAATGCAAGTTTTCCATCAGCTGAATATAAAATCCTAGTTTGGTAAATCATTGCTTTGAAACATAAAATTTCATAAGAAAGCAACCTGACAGTAGAATAGTAATCTATTGAAAAAACTGCTTCAATGTGTAACATAGTAATAAACCTCTATGAAAATGTGTCCCCAGGTATGCTGGTATCCTCCTAGGCATCACGAATACATTTGCCACTATTCCAGGAATGGTTGGGCCTGTCATTGCTAAAAGCCTGACCCCTGATGTAAGTAGACATTTTGCTTATAAACTGAAAAGATTTGGGAATTATGCATCTGTGTCAGAGTTGAGTATATTTTAATGGTAGAGTTCTGAATGTTTATTTATTTTCTTTGTGGTATTAGTGATTGAACTCAGGCCTCATGTGTTCTAAGCAGGTGTTTTACCACTGATCTACAGCTCCAGCTCTTGAATATGTATTCTTAAGAAATTATTTATGGCAACAAAATCTATAAGCCTTAATGGATGAGAAAGTATACATTTTTAAAGGATACTCTTTGGGTTTTAGAACAGTATAACTAAGTTAAATGATAATCCTGTGGTCAAAACCACAAAGTATTAAAAGCTGTAGTAGTTTACCATATAAGTAATTTACGTATAAAATAAAACAAATAAAAATTGGCAATGTAAAATAATTCAAAAAAGGGACCCATCAAGGTGAGTGAGGTGTCATGAAATAATGTGAGAATGAAGGAAGAACAGTTGAAATAGTCAACAATGTTTGAAGGGCCAAAAGACTTGGGAAGACCTGATAGGTGTCTTCACATATTTGAAGGACTAGATGGTGACTTATTCTCAGTAGTTCTACAAAGACAGATGGAGAGAAGTTATGGGAGACATTAGGAAATTTTTCTGTTCAAAGCTGTTACTTTATAAAATGTGCTGCCTTATGAGTGAGTCAGTAAGCCCTGAAGCAGTGGAACATTTACTCAAAAGGCATTTCTGGAGTGTTTATCAGCATGTTAGATATTGAAGATTCAAAGGCAAAATGACAAGCTTCTCCTACACTTCTGAAAAATTCACCATTTACAGATTATATGTAATTAGAGAGTTAAAGTGCAGTTTGACAGATGCTACAGAAAAAAAGATAGTGTGGCATGCTACTGCGAGAGAGAGCAGTGGGGAAGGAGCCCCTCAGGAGTAAGCCATGTGGGTGTTAAGGGTCTGACACATAGGCCTGGGCAAGGGCACCAAGTGCAGAGAGGCAAGGTGGGCCAGGGTTGGTTAGGTCTTAAAGCTGGAGGGCAGCATGAGGCCAGGTCAGTCAACAGAGCCTTTTGAAACATTACTCTTTCCAACTCTACTTTCTAAAGTTTAAACGTATCTCAAGCCAGGCACAGTGGCATATGCCTATAATCCCAGTATTTTGGGAATTCAAAGTCAGTCTCAGCAATTTAGCAAGGTGCTGAGCAACTCAGTGAGACCCTATCTCTACATAAAATATAAAAAAGGGCTGGCAGGCTGGGGTTGTGCTCAGAGGTAGAGCGCTCACCTAGCATGTGTGAGGCACCTAGCATGTGTGAGGCACTGGTTTTTTTTAAATATAACACGTATTTTTAAAATACACAAGTTATAATTGTACAGCTGAATCAATATTCAAAACATTAACATATCTGTGTAGCCATTCCCCAATCAATAAATAGATCATTGGTCCCTCAGCAAGGGAATTTTGCCTCTTTGATATTCCTGCCACTCCTCCCTCACCCCTTTCAAGAGGAACTATTCCTGACTTTTAACCATAAATTAGTTTTGTCTGATTTTTAGCTTTATATAAATGGAATCACTTCATATATACTCTGTCTTCTTTTGCTTAACACTTTGTGAGATGTATCCATATTGTAGCTCATTCATTCTCATTGCTATATAATATTTCATTGAACTTACACACCACAGTGCTACTGCTGGTGAACATTTGAGTTATTTCAAGCATATCTTTGATGAATAAAGTTGCTATCATAACAGTTTTGTGATACAACCTTTTTTATAAACTGGACACAAAATTTTTTCATTTCATTTTTTTCTTTTTTTCTCTATAGAACACTGTTAGAGAATGGCAAATTGTTTTTTGTATCGCTGCTGCTATTAATGTATTTGGTGCCATTTTCTTTGTACTATTGGCCAAAGGCGAAGTGCAGAAGTGGGCTGTCAGTGATTACCATGGACACAAAAACTGAAGAAAACAATAAATAATCCTCTTTCTATTAATGTACTTTTATTTATCATGTAACCTGAAAAGTGCCTTTGATATTTTAATGTGTAAGCATTCTATATATTAAAAAATGTACTTGTATTAAATTTTAAGGCTTGTAATCATGAAGTGTCACTAGTTGCCAGATTAGGAAAATTTGCTCTTTTTAATAACTAATAATATATATGCAGGACTTTAAACTTAAGGTTCAGACCCCTGGCTGCAAGTCAGGTGACATGAAATAGGAGAACTCTATTTATTGTTAAGGGCCGCATTTAAGGGAATGAAATGAAATGAACCCTCTTATACTGCTTATCAAACTAGATAATAACCTCAGGTTTTGGTAAACACCTGTTTTTGTTCACTTTTCTCATGAAAACTATTTGTTATTAGCTCTCTGTGACACTTAGTCTCAAACTTCAGCATCTCCATAGAGCTGCTAGCCACTGTATAATTAGGCCTGGCACCTAAATTGAGCAAAGCATGCCCAGGCAGCTGCCAAGCATTCCCTCTCTGGCATCAGGGACAGAGTGTCCAACATTTATCAGAAGCAGCACCCAAGTCCAGGGCCAATGCCAAAATCTTTGTATGGTGTTCTCTTTCTGGGGCTATTAATGTGTATATGAAGCCCTGAATAGACAAGAGCAGTAAGATCCACAATTATGGTCTTGATGCAGCCTCAAACTTTCCCTTCCCAGCACTTTGGACTATCTACTCTCATGGAATCTGGAAGAAAAAAAAAAATGAGATGCCCAATCTATCCCACAAATAATAGCATCCTTGACTAAAACGAATTTCATGTGAATCAGAGTATAAATTCTGAAATTATGGAATGCCGCAGTCTGGCTGGGCACAATCAGGAGCCACTTGTCAAAAGAAACTAACTTTATTTTTAGAACCACACACGCCAAACAAAATAGCCTCTCAGGAAAAACCCTCAGAGCCTCAACTGCCACCACCGGCTTTCCACAAGCCTCTCTCTCCCCCACAAGCTTCTCTCCACCTCCCACAATCCTCCTGCTCTTGAGGCCAATTGGCTGGGTCACGTGGGCGGAGCCAAAAAAGTCCCCCAATGAGCAGCTCCGTGGTCTGAAAGGGCAGGGAAACAGTCCAATGAGCATCACCGAAGAGGAGCCAATCAGCTAGATGTTGCTGGGGCCGAGGAGCCAATCAGCTAGATGTTGCTGGGGCTGCTGTGAGCCAATCATCAGCCAGCAGCTGGAAGTTTGCTGGCAGCTGGAAGTTTGCTGGGGCCCCTCAGGCTGTGGCTCTCAACATCTCCCCCTCTCTGTTTAAACAACAAGCATGTGGCTTAGGGACCGTGCCTGTTAGGCAGTCCAATTCAACATATGGTCCTTACCCGTCATCGGATGAACTGACCTCTAGGCGTCAGCCTCCTGTCTTAGGTTGGTACCACTGCAATTGGATCATACCCGTCACTGACTACCGGTCCAGCATACAGCCATACTTGTGGATAGGCCTTTGCACCTGTGGGGGGGTGAGGTTCTTTGCCTCACCTCTGTTGGCCCCCAAATTTTAGACCATCACTAGTAGAGGAGGATGCAAAATGCCATGACATTAAGCCAATTGAGGGCTCCTTTGAAAAATTGTACCACCGGTGACATCATCAGCAAAAATACCCCAACACTACCATAAGTCGCTGCACCAACAGATAGTTCACAATGCATACAGGTGAGCTCACAATGTGTCCAGGCAAGTTCTGCAAGCAGTTCAGTGATGGCTATTGTAGAAGCTGTAGATTGGTTTTATCTTTGACTTCACCAGCACTGGGATGAAGATAGGAATTCTGGCAATAATGGCTAAAGAAAAAATTATGTAACATTCCAGAAGGCACTAAAAGAAAACAATTTTCTTAACAATTTACATTGTCTTCACCGGCACTGGGATGAAGATAGGAATTCTGGCAATAATGGCTAAAGAAAAAATTATGTAACATTACAGAAGGCACTAAAAGAAAACAATTTTCTTAACAATTTACATTATCTTTAAGAGAATTATTAAATATAATGAAAAGGAAAGGTGAAAGTAAACAAACAGATCTGTTAACCTTCTTTTTTGTTTACATATTAAAACAATCCTCAACAGTTGTTTACCCAATTTAAATTAAACCATATAAATCACGTGAAAAAAAAATATTTGGATCCATTTTATCATGAGCGCTCATCATATATGATATATGGACATACGTACATTCAAACATATAACACAAAACACAAGTGTGCACACATAATATAATACATACAACACATAACATTATAGTAAAGGCCTTATAACTTTTTACAGGTGAAATCTCCATTGCAATGCTTAAAAACTCTATAGTCAAAAAATAGAACTGATCAGCAAAACATTAACCTAGGTCTGTATGAGCTCAAAAAACAAAATAGAACTTCATGATATGGCAAAGGGCAATAATAAAATAGATATTGAAAAAAGCATCCTGGTTCTGTTGCAGATGTAAGAATAGCCAAACTGGAGTTTTGGATATCAGTTGTTATGGATTTGAGCCAAATCATCTTCTTTTTGGTCTGTAGAAATCGCTTTAGTTAATCTTTCTGGAATCCAAATCGGCTGCTGTTCTCCCTGTGGAAACACACAAACAGACCCCCGACTCCAGACAATTACTGGGTCAGGACCTTTCCATTGTCCTGTTAGAATATCCTTCCAAAGTACCTTGGGCTTATGTACATTTTTTGGACACATATGCCTTTCCGCAGCACTAAGTCCTGATGAATCCAAATTTAAAAAGTTTAGAGTAAAAAGGGTTATTTTAAGTTTATCTTTGGGGAATATATACCCCTTCCCAATTCCTTCTTTTTGCTTTAATAAGTACATTTTAATAGTTTGATGAGCTCTTTCAACTATGCCTTGTCCCTGTGGATTGTATGGGATTCCTGTTATATGAGTAATGCCAAATGTTGAGCAAAATTGTTTAAAAGAGGTAGAAGTATAACCAGGGGCATTATCTGTTTTTAACTGTTTTGGAACACCCACAGTGGCAAAATTTTGTAAGCAATGAG